CACATATGCTTTGCACTATTTCAGGCCCTGACGAAGGCGAAGCAGCCGAAACGTTGGTCATATATTCAATCTTGAGAGGCTTGAACAGAATTGCTCCGTACTTCCTTCAAAAGACCGTACAAGCTAATGAGGAACATGGCATTCGAAACGTCGTGTGCCTATAGGGGCCATGAAACTCAAGGGTGTGCATCTAGCACGTACACTGTTGCACAAAAAAATTGATCTGGATTTTAACTCATTCAATGGGAGATGTACCCCGAATTTCCGTGGCGGTCAGGTTACAAATGTATAAAATAACAAATTCATATAAGCAGTAAAAGTTAAAATGTTAAGTTCGAGCTATGTTATAAAAGCTGGTATCAAAAATTTGACGGATTCGAAATAAGACAGCAGAAAACGAATTTTACGTAGACACATGAATGGAACTGCTACTTGAAATTGCGGCTGAATGGGACGGAGGAACACGAACGACACAGATTTCCAAGGCGCTGAGATCGATGGCGCAACCTTGACCTCCGAGATTTTCAGAGTAGTTCGAAGTTATGGAGCAGCAGTACACGAGGGAATTAACAAAAACTTATCCTTGCACTTCGAAAATCATTTTAAAACAAAAGGTGTAATACCAAAAAGAAAAATTCAAAATTTTTTCAATTACAAGGAATTCCTAAACACTCGTTTTTTGCTAAGTCTAGTGACCGAATCCTAGTTTCTGTACTCACTATTCCTACGAAAAACTTGAAAATCAGAAGCGACTGCACATTCATCGCAAACCCAATGAAAAAATCAATTTTATCTATCGGAGATCAGAATTCGAACTACATTTGAGTGAACTGCTTTAATATAACGGTTTTTCAAAGTTATTTTCTGCTTTGAGCCGCAGCTTCTTTCCTTGACGCATCTTGAAGCAGTTGTGTATCAACTCGATCAGCTGGTAGTTGTACATATCTGAACATTTAAATCCTATCAAAAAATGGCTAGTAGTTGAAAACTGACTCTATTGCTTGCAAAAGGCATAAATTACAAATTAAAATTATTTAAATATTTACATGTCATTTTGTATTTTTTAAAAATGAAAATTCGGCTGGTGAGTGTTACCTGAAAAACCCAATTTCCCAAAACATGCCATATTGAACTGAATACTCACAAGCCCGTCCACTCAAGACTGCAAGAGTATTCAACAATGAGCGATTGCAAGGCAAAAACTGATGTGACGACCGATAGCGTCCTGAGTTGGATGGCAGCCTGTGCAGCTGTGACCATCCACCCACGCGCCAATTTCTTGGCAGTGCCCATGACTTCTTGTGCACAGACCACTGAGCAGTCCAAGAAACAACATGCAAGCACAGCAATACACTTCCAAACGAAAAGAGGAGAGACGGGCAGAAGGAACGGTTTCGTGTGATCGATCCGCCGCACGCGGCTGTCGCGAACCATTTGCCCCCTTCATAACAGCTCTAGCGTTCTTCATACAGCTCAATCGCTATGCGATTATTACTTTAGGCATGATTCCACTAATAGCTTTTTTTGTTCGTGAATTTCCTACTTGTTGCCGCATTCTGCTACATTTCTTAGCGCGCGGCGTCTCCCTCGCCGCGACAATTTCGTTCCTACTGCACCACACCCCGAGAAGGTGAGGTTAATAGGATCAGATCCCTAAATCCACATGCATCGAGGTCACTGTTAGTGAAGGGCGGAAAGTGGCGGCATTTGTTTTCCTTTTGTTTTCAAACGATATCGAGCATGAATGAAGCCAAAACAGAGTCTGGTTAAGAACGGTCAGCAACGATTACGATACGATTGAAAACCGAAGTGATGCTTGATGCTAGGTAACGGCGAACAGACATAGATTAATTTTCCAATGCCAATTTTCCGGCATTGTAGTGAAAACTTCTAGTGGCGTTCCGCGCTAGGCTGCAGCTGGGAGCTGTACTCCACGAGCGTTTACTTCTTCTCGTAAGAGAGTGTAATAGAGTGTTACATAAACCACTGTGTCACCTTCGATTCAGAGTTCCCTGGAACGTTCCATAAAATGAGGAAAAACTCAAATGGAGCCTTGCTGTCGAGGTCCCATCGCCAGTAATGAAAACTATCAAAACTCCTATTGATCCGCTGACTTCCCACCGCACCCCCACGGTTTCGGTACTAAATGCGCGGAAGGCAGTTATAAGTGGAATGACTCGGTAGCTGAACTTGTGCTAGTCCATGTTTTTCAGAACACAAACATAAACACAGCCTAACAGCATGTGTTCTTATATGTATATTTTAAACTATCATTCACTGGATTCTATCGACTTTTGTCGATTCCTCCAGTCCGTCAGACAAATATTCCTGCGCAACAGATGACTCAAAAACTAGTAGAGAAACGAAGTCTATGGGAATGATGGCACTAATAAATTGATGTCTACAAGTCAGTCAATCGACTTCCTCTCTTGTGCACGTTCCAAAAGTTGGCAGTATACTTCATGAACTAGAAAGTTCATATCATAAGCGAAGCATTTCGGCTATTGATAAATCAAGATGAGCACAACAGCATCCACAGCGGTTCACTACACTCCTTCGAAACTTCGTCAGGAATTGTTGGACACAAGTGCAGTGGCATGTGAAACTGTTCTGATTAGAAATGAAACAAAAATCGAAAATCGAAGGAGGCAAAGCCGTTTATCAGTTACCATTTTTGGTGAAGAAGAGGAGGAATCAATGAAGCGTAGAACAGACAAAGATTATAAGGTCAAATTCATGAGTCAAAGAAATACAGCGGTCATCCCTAGCTTGAGACAAGATTTATCTTCAGTTGGTCGAGTTTTGAAGAGTGGGCCTATTTGGGAGAAATACTCAATGGTTTCTTCAAAAAAGTTATTCTGTCAACTTCTCGCCATTATGTTCCCGCACCTACTCCTTTATGATAAGCTTTAACAAGGCGCTTAAGGATGCGCCAGCTTATGGAAACCAAAAAAGCAAATGCTCTCAGCATGATTTCAAGGAAAACTAATTCTTCGCGATTCATTACTGTTTTTACGAATAGAAAGAATGTTGAATAGAAAAGATTAAGCGTACCGAACAACCGATCCTCGAATGAAACAGTTTTTCACGGCGTGCATCTGAGGAAACTTCTCTGGTTCGGCAACAGAAATATCAGTGAGCTTCATATTCAGGTACTGGTCCACAGAGTGGAGTGTTCCACAAATACTGAAACGAAACTAATGTGAGAAAAGAAGGAAGCCGTTCGTCTTTTTTTTTTCGAGTATTTCCAGTTTGAAAACTGAGCGCCGCTAAAATAAGCTTGTCTGAACAATGTTTCGCAAAATGGCTAATTTTTTGGGGGAAAGGAGGAAAAAACTGAAACAACAAACCTCAGATCGTTTTTCAACTCCACGACAACATCTTGACCAACAAGCGACTTGAAGAATGAAAAGAACAACTGAAATCATTTTTCCATAGTCTTTGTAAGCCTACAAAATTCTCTAGCTGATGACTCAAACCTTACCATTCCAAATATCCTCTGTGATCACCCGTAGTGGACGGAATAAGGAATCTAAAAGATTAAATTAATGAAGAAGCATCTTTCATAATTTACGTTAGAAGCGAACGAAGCTCGATTTTCACAAACTGAGCACTCAGAATGGATGCTCATAAAAACTATATAGAAAGAAGAGATCACAACTTTATCCCAGTAAGTGAAACGACAGTGAACGAGTTTTTAAGTTAAATTATCCGATTAGACGTGGTATCGAATGTACTCAGTGTAATGCCGGTGATTACATTAAAGATTACGCCGTTCAGTTTGACGTTCGCTTCAACTTTAACGTTCCTATCGTTCTATTCGTTACGCCTGAACTGAGATTTATTCACGGTACAGAGATTCGTTGATTTCTCAACTATTTCGCTAATTATCCATTGCTATGCCTCTCGAAGTCTCCGCGGCTTTAGACCGCGAAGCAGCGATATATCTCACTGGCGAAGTGATCACGGTCAAAGTAAGAATAAAAGAATTAGCCCTAGCTTCTTGGCGACTGCTCAAACTAAGTCAGCATTTTCAGGTGACTTTGAAGAATTTAGCAGCAAAAGGACGAGAGTCATTAGCTTGGGGGAGTGTGCAGCTCACTTGTGGTACGTTTCTCACTTTCCTTCCGTGTCCCTTACATTTTATCCTTTTTATGAATGTGTTTTTATCAGAGCGCACAATGGGTGCACAAATCGGGTCTAGAGATCGACCAACAACAGCAATAGCTCGAAGTGCTTCTACGGTATATTCATCCAAACCTAATGTGTTATTCTGTGACGTGGAGCTGACCCACGGCGAGACCCGATGTTTCTCCTGCGAGGTGATCGTTATAGTTGGACAGCCCATTTGCGAGGATACCCAGATGTCATGAAGTTGATATTACAGATACCCTTACCCACCCATGATATACCTCCGTCGTTTCGTGGGCATTTGGTCAAGTACCTCAACCGCATAACAGTCGCTGTACAACATGTTCGTGCTCCCATCAAGCTCATGCATATTCCAGTAAGGTGAGGCTCAATTCAATCTAATCGGAAAGGTACAATTTATCGAATTTTGTAAATGATGATGTCAAAATATGGCACGGTTCATTATGGTACTTCTATGTTACAGAATAATTCCTTCTGTTGGAGTTGACGAAACTGCCAAGACAGACAAGAATCCGTTTCTGACTGGAGGCATACCACATGCAACAATATCACAGGTATCTTGGACCTGGAAGGTTACCAAAGATTCTATCTTCCCCTTCTTGCTTATTTATTGCCATCATGAATTTACCGAGATAGAGTGTGCATCATTTTCTTACACAACGATCTTCGTTTTTCTGAAGTTCGTCTTTTGGAGGACGTCAATCACCAATCCATAAAACCCATCAGAAATTCGTCGTCATCTCATGTGCATTATTGTAAAGTGTAATAATATCTCATTCTTTTTTGCAGACTGTTATGGCGGCGGTTGATGAGATCACTGCTCCGAAGCGGCCACACATGTTTAGTATGACGAATGCTCATGGAAAAGTCGCAACTATGACGTTATTCAAAAAGACTTTCCGATTAGGCGAAGATATTCTAGGAATTCTGAGTTTTGAAGGTTTGCAGACACTGTTTTACTGATGGAAAGCAGGAAACTAGTAGTTATTTATCAGAGGCCGATGTTCCATGCGTTCAATACTCCGTTCATTTGGAAACTGTTGAACAGCTCGCCGAAGATGTCATTGGAGAGCATGGAGAAGTTAAAACAGAAGGAATGGTTAGTTTTTCTCTCCATTCAATGTAACCTTTACTTGGATTAAATAAAAACTGGTAAGAATCAACATGAACTTTTCTAGTACGAAAAAAGTGAACAAACTCGCATCAAATGCGCTCTTATTTTTGCCATTCCAGGTTTTTGAGTGTCATCAATATGATTTCGGTATTCATTCTATGGCTTACTTTTTATTACTTTCATTCCTGACAATTCTAGTTGTTGTTTTAGAGTAACACCACTGTACATTCAAATGACTATGTCATCTGCGCTTTTGCATCAGATAGTTCCTTCCGATTATCCATTCCTATGCATGCATCACCGACGTTTCATACTGATACAGGTACCCTTTCTTTTACTTACGGTATCGTTCAATGCGCATTGATAGTATCATTCTAGTTCATTTGAAATGGAGGCTACGGTTCGAATTTGTCACCTCTGCTCCACTAATTAATGTCGTATACGGTGAAGTATGCAAAGCACCTATAGGTAGGCAATAGCTTTATTTTGACGAAATCCACAATGAAGCCTCAGCTATCTCGTGCGAAATACTTTAGATAGATACTTGAAATCCGCCACGAAGGCTATGCTTCAGCTCTCAAGAAATTTCACATAAAACGCTTTTTACAGATGTTCCTATAGAAACTTTGGCATGGAAAGTGGATATATACGTACTGCCATGTAGCCCACAAAACGCTGCTCTCACTGACTCATCTCATGTTGGTAGTGCGTCAATGATCTTATAATATTTGTATATTATTGCATAGATTCTCACATTTTTAGGTTAATTTATTGCATTAGTGCTCATTCTATCTGTGATATACGGTGGTGATTTTCATAATATTACAGAATAAATTTATTCACATAAAATTGAAGACATAATGAAAACTAATACAATATTGCGATAACCAACCTCAACATAGAACAACAGATATCACAACGCGGCAGTGCTTACCATAAAGTCGTTAAACGTCGTATAGGCAATAGTATTCTCATTCAATAAAGTTACTCCATAAAGAAGGTGCTTTCCAGCGTCTTTATCACATTTTACAATATCGAAATTCTGATCATATAAGACCCAGCCACCGTACATACATGCAGCAAGATAATGCTCTACACCGGCTCGTTGACAGTTCTCGATGTGCCAGACTCCTCCATGCGTCTGATATATACATAACTTATTCAATAACATTGTGAAACCGTTCCCAATAGAACCACTCAGGTAAGACTGGATTTTTCTGACGGAGTAATTCTTTCCAAGGCGAAAACGAACAAATTTGTCGATTTTCCGTGAGAAGGAAAAAGATAAAAGGGAAACAATAATTGTACCTAAAATTATGACTGGAAACAATCACGTTACTTCGGAATTTAAGGAGGTCTGCCATAAAGCTACTACTTCAATGGATTCAATAAGAAAAAATATATGATGCGCGATCCTGCAATTACTCTCAAATCCAGTTTTACATGCCGAGCTCCCTTTTCGGTTAGAATTCGTGCAGATTAATTCTCTGATATTCTCTCACCTCCACAGTTTTGATTGCCTCTCGATTGTTGCGCATATCAAATAAGCGAATGTGTTGGTCGTAGCTGCCAGTCAGGATTAACTAAAATAAAGCAATAAAAGGTATGTACAGTTTACATCACAGCAAAGAACGTTTAAAACATTGCAAATTACAGAAATGGAAATTATATCTCACATTGTCTTCTTGCCACTCACTGAAAGTGACTCCTGCTTCAAATTCGTTGAATCGTTGGGCAATACTCTGACTTCTGGCATCCCATACTTTGAGGGCCGCATCTTCACCACCCGTACATATCAAATGGTCACGTTGAGCACACGTCCACACCTAAAACCTACTATCATAAAGACTCGTCATATCATCGACTCACAAAGAAATGCACTGCCAACATAACTCGCATCCAGTGTTCGTGTACGGTAGCGAATGAGCCTTCCAACTCACGATCACTCGGCCCGTAGTCAAATCTACAATATATGCACATCCCCATTTGTCGGTACAAGACACCCGATCTGATGATGGTGATGACGAGACATCGAGAAGAATGTCTTTAGCAACAGATATTGACGAATCTGATGGTGGGCCTGAAGAAGAGTGATTCAATGATATAAGACAGAAAAGCCTTTGAACATTTCATGCACCGATGAGAGGGAAAAGATATCGACTTTTTTGATTCAAATTGCATTCAAAAGAAAAAAGAAAAGTAGTAGCCAAGAATTTTAGCAAATTTTTCCTCCTTTTAGCTCCTGATACATATAAGCAAAAACGTGAACGTTGCCCATTCATCTACAGTCTCCTCTGCTTTTTTTACATGGACAACGAAAAAGTAAAACAATGAAAAATGATGGAAGCGCACTAACCTGAGATGGACGCAGTGAATAGGGAGCCATCAGTAATTGCCGCTATGACAACGTGAGGTTTCAAGAAATCGAATCGAAACACCCCACCAGGGGCTTTAATACAACGAACAGTATCGAGGTTATGCGAAAGAATGTACAAAGAACCGATTCGCGAATCAGAATCCTCTAATTGATACGTAGACACAAGCACATTCGATGGAGTAGAATGAGCGAAAGCAGGCCGCTGTGTCAATTTCATAGAATAAGACATAACTACAAACAAAACGACAAATTCACAACAGAAATATCAAGAAATGTAAAGATACGTCAAATAAATATAAAGGTTATTGGTTTTTGACCGCCGCATCCGCTGCAGCTTTCTGCCGATCCTTTTCGGCCTCAAGCAAGCACTCCCTATAAATGTAAGAATCGAACGTATTAAAAGAATCAAACAAAAAAAAAAAGACGAACCTAACGAGAATCCGAGAATGGGCTATGGATCTTTTCAGACGTTCTGCGCAAATTTTATTGCCGGTGTAAGTCGGCCGTATATCCTTGCCCAGTTCTTCGATTACCGCAAGCAGTTGCTGATATTTGGTGCTCCCAACGATCTGAAATGTCAAAGCTGAACAGAACGGTCGAATCGAACGGATTGGTAGTTACGATAAAAAAAACTAGTTGATTAATTCTAAAATTACAAATTGCGTGCTGGCCCTTGTAGCTTCACAGAACATAGCTTAGAGCCTGATTGACGTAACACGACAAACGACATCTAAAGAATGTTAACGCCTCTATACTATGCGCTGGCCAATACTGGAATCGATCGAGAGATTCACGGTTAATGCTCGTCTTCGAGCTTTTAAATGTCACGCCTGGTCTCTTACGCTGCTCAACGCAAATCGCTAAGTATCACGCAAATCGCTAAGCAATCAGTGTAATATGCGAACTTAGTTAATGAATATGAGAAAACAGAAACGCGTATTCAAGTGCTTTCAGGCATTAAACCCCATCATGGATCGACCGTGTGAGGCGAAATCCCTCGCCGTTCGCCATCAGCTATCGAGCCGATTTAAGCTGCTCTCGGAAACCCAAGAGGGTAAAGATTCATAAACCACACCCTACGCGGTGTCTGAATTACAAAGTGATTCTTCATAAGGCATTGTATTGCATGAGTTTTCTGGACAGCCTGTGCTTCACGTAATAATGGCATTTCGTTATGGACACGAATCAACAATTCATTTTAAAACATCCGAATCTCTCATTATATATTCCGTTAACTATATGAATGGAATCATCATGGATAGTCACTCGGTCTGCCAGCCCCTCTGCAAAAGAGCAAGTGGAGTGACGGAGTTTGTAAGAGGAACAGACTATTGAAGGACAATTGAACGTACACGTACTATGATATCAATGTAAGCTGATGACGATGATAAAATCTCCCAACAACAACCCTTAATTGCGATTTTGTTACTTCATAATGTGATGACCTCAACCTGAGGTCGTGGGAATGCACTTTGAGATGAACAAAGAGAAGCCATGAAAAAACCTGGCGGCTGTTACGGATTCTTCTATCTGACGTGATAAAGGAGGAAATCAATCGGTTTGGGGGTTCAAAACTAGGATAGGAAGGATAGCCTACACAATTGAGCCTCCTATCACAATATAAGAACTCCTCTGGGTACTGTCGTTCAAAGGGTAGTTGGAAGGACATCTTGGGCTCAGTCTGTGAAATTTGTGTAAGACCGAAGAAAAGATGAACCTGCTGTAGAGGATCAAAAAGCTTGTAACAAAGATAATGCGCAGACCAGCAATGAAATTCGGCAATTGAAAAACAAAGTCTGCAATCATCCCACACACAGTATATCTCATTTTACGCTAAGCAATTATTTAAAACAATGCCAGAACGGTAAAACTTTTGTGGAGCCGTTCCCTTGGTGGCCTCTTTTTTTCAATACTCAGAGCGTGATGTTGAGCCGCGCAACTTCTGGCTTAGCTTATAAAATTAGTAGATTTTTTCTATCCGAGTTAAACCTCTTTATTAGATCACAGTTTTACTCGAAGTGAGCAATACTGTTTGTATTGAACTCATCGAGCCGGAACAATGGGCAGTACCTGTGGTCCTGGTACGGAGTACTGAGGCAGGGAGGCGGTGGTGAGATCGTCAGCCATTGATGAGTGCGGTGAGCGAGTGACGGCGCTGGCGACTTCCCCAATGGGTCGATCGATTTCTCGCCAGCTGCTGGCTGGTCCAGGTCACTTTCTCCGCCCTTCTCCGTCCAAACGGATCCACCGTTCCATTCTCACGTCTAGCACTTCACTTCACTAACCGCCCCTCCACACCGGTATCACCGCCCACTTTGCCTGATTACGGTCACTCAATTGAATTATCTACTTAACTATGCCGCAGGTGAGATGTGTTTCTTACTGTGTTTTCTTATTTTGGGTTTCTATGTTATTTTTTGTTCATTTTCTTTATATTACCCAATGGCTGAAGGATCTTCATCATAATAATATGCATGAACAAGGAATGAATAGAAAAAGAGCAAAAGATTAGAGGTACCACTTGATTAATCATTTGAAAGCAGCGTCACTCACTTCGCTTCGAGTCGGAGTCGTACTCTCCAAACACCTCTAGTCCGGATGGTGACCTGTAGAGACAACCCAACCGAAAAGATTTGATCAAGTTCCTCTCACCTTACCCATATCTATCGTAGTTACAAGAGGAACGGAGACCGAAAGAAGGTGATTTATAGATTTCGAAAGGTTTCCGGCTCGGAGCCTCTCAGAATCGATCAAGGCTATCTCTCCACCGAGCATTTCCTTGACATATATTCGCAATATTGCACATGGGCGCATAGGGACCTCGTCACGGTAGAACCGCGGTGAAATCTTTTCATTGAATAGGGACTGGATAGCAAACTATCCCTTCACCATCGCATTTCAAAGAACTTGAAGAGGTTTCCGAACTTGTCTAAAAGTAGCAAAGTACGTCTATGTATCTTCCACCTTTCTCCTTCGATGCTTGGCAAACAAATGGTACCAACGTGATGTTCAACAAAAATGAAAAGTAGGTAGTTCTCACGTCTCATAGGGGTCCGAGATAGTGAAAAACGAGAGGGGAAGACGCGAAAACTGGTGTAAACATTCTACAATTACATTATTCAGTCCGTACCCCCTCCATTTCCTTGCCTTCTCTACATGAGCACTTTTTTTTGCCTTCACCTCGTTTTCGGTTGATGTTGTTCCATATTAGTGATGCATCATTACTCGATAGTTATAGGCAATCAATTTCTGGGTGTGAGAGCTGCTGAAGATGATGAAAATGTTTATCGCCTACTCATCATGACTGATATAATTTAGTGCCTATGGTTTACCAGATAATCATAAAGTTGGGAGGGAAGCTATGCACAGGAACCAAACCTAAACAGGAAGATCATTACTGAGATCACTGGACAATTCAGGAAAACCTTTTGTTTGAATCCGCGGAAATTATCTTTGGAAGGCCATAATCCTTCAGAAACAGAAGAAAAATATTGAAATTTATTGACTTCCTAAAATGGCAAGAATGTCTTATCTTATATCGATTTGACACTTCATAAAAACGTTCACAACCCATCCACTTTGCCCACTTAATGGTTTCCGTGCCCTTATACAAACACTATCACGTAAGCAATCACGCGATAATCAGATTTTGATAAATCAATCATTGATAATGATAATATTTGGTGAACTGAAGGTGGAATAATAATAACCGGCGTCATAATTCGAGAATGGTTTGGGATTAGAACTCTATTCTGGTCCATAGTTTTTCTCCAAAGATGGATGAATGGTACGGGACCCCTATAGAGGAATGATGAAGTCGACTTTTTTGTGCTTAAACTATATAATAACTTGAACCTCGGTTGGTGCTCATTATTATTTATATTTCACTGGGCGGCTCACACTCAAAAACCATTACGATTTGAATGGAAGCTGACTACGTGAGCACTGTGGTAGAGGAGGAGTGGTGAACGAGGAGGAAGTGATCCCATTATTTAAAAAGAAAGTCAAAGTGAACTTCTTTTATGTCTGGGTAGCACGCAGTTCGTACTTTTCCACGTCAAAGGATAAATCCTTCGCATTGCATTTTCTAAATAATATTACATCACGAATCCTGCTTTGAAAAAAAGTCTAGAGGAAAGGATTACGATGAGAATTGATCTTACAAAAAACAATCATTAACAGTATCCACCAAAGCAGCACCGATTTTTCTTACGAGAAACTAACTAATGGCTTGACCTTTGGTCTAGCCTCTCGCCATCTTCAGTGGAAATCCATTTTGAAGAAATTTTATACCTTTTACATTAAAATTTTACCAAAACGAGTGAAAATTTAAGTGGCGCAGAGTGGTAATCTGACATGGTGCGCGCCACGTATTTCACTCACAATCGTAATTGTTTTGTAAGCATTAGGTCTACAGCGGCTTGAAGACGTCACTCCTATACTCGTAACGAGCCTGGTACCCACTAAATGGACATGAATGTGACCTGATAATTTGGTGTTCGATATGTTCGGCAGTTTGACTGCCAAACCATCACTGTCATGACAGCTGGGTGTAGCCACGAATTTATCTGCCCTAATAGTGCAGGGTACACGACTTTACGATACGACTAACATTTTCATTGAAATGTTAATAAAGGGAAAGTTCTCTTTTTAAAGAAAAGCTTTTTAGTACACGTTTGAAATGGCGATGACGTGCGATGGTTGCGCCAATGCAGCACGACGGGTTCTGGGAAAACTTGGAGGTAAACCGGTTTTCTAAATGTTTGAGTGCATATGTTATGTAACCTTTACTTATTTGAAGACAAGGTGAGCATTGACGAAGTTAATGTCGAAAAAAAGAAAGTGGTGGTTACCACCGACTTACCAGCCAATGATATTTTGGAAACACTCAAGAAGACCGGCAAAGAAGTAAAACAACTATAATTATAATTTCCCCATTCCTTCCTTTATTGCTTTCTCTGTTTGTGTCTTGTGGGTTTCATGGTTGTGATTATTTCTTTGTGAATATGGTACTAATCTATTCTATTCATGAGATAAACATGAAGATTACAAAGTGTGGTACAATTTGCGAAAACAAGTGGAAAATTCTTGCAGAGCGGCAAGCTTGCACATCTATGTCCACACTTAATGGGGCAGGTTTACATCAGCTACTCCATGTCTGAGTGGCTATTAGTAGATATCTCTCTCTATATATATAGAGCGCTCACTTTGTATGTCTGTTTATATGTGGGTTTGTGCGTAGCCCAGCTGGTTAGTAGGTAATACTAATCATATAAAAGGATAAAGTTTTTGGCGTTAATCAATCCCGTCTGAGGGATGCTTCCCCACACTCGACTTCCATTCAGGATCGTAGTGGCGTGATAAGTGCGTATGTGGCCTATACAAAGACTTGCGGTGGTCAGCCGATGTACAAGTCAGTGCTTTTATCCTCGCAAACTAGTCTGGTACCAATTAACCGATCCGGGAGGGATGGAAGACTTTGTTGGCCTAGGCGGATATCCGAGATTCGAAACCCTGACCATGCGCGTGAGATTGTGCGCCACTTGCCACTACACCACCTCCGCCCAATCATATATCTACTTTCCACTAGTGGTAGAAAGGTACCGTAGCCGGAGTTATGATGATGCCCATAACTTCTCAACTCTCAAACTAGTATGAAAGAGGGAGAACAAATGCATACGTATGCAAGCTTGAAGAGGAGATCTTAAACTGGTAGGCGGTTTTGGAAGAATAAACGGGCTCCGTCAGAAATACGTAATATTTTTTGCATCCTTGAGTCATTGTGAAAGGCTAAAGGCATCGTTAGTTCACAGATGCTCAACAGCGTTTCGATCATGCATGGAAACGTGATTACTTGCTTGTTTTTTTCAGTTCAAAAAATGAGCTTTTTATTGGTTTCGAATTTATCAGACGTCGGTCACACTTCGCTATAAACCGATGTTACTGGATACAATTCGGAAAGCTTGATCGAAATCATCGATGGAAAGAGATTATAAGATGTTCGGAATCTCACCTAGTTACCGGAAAAGTACTATTTGGTTGAGTGGTAATACTAAGACAATGTTTTTGGAATTTGAAACAAATCAACATACTCAGCCGACATTGTTCCGAAGGATACCAAACAAACCTTCATACTGGTATACTGGTCAAACCTTTTGGGATAGGTCGACACGATCGGCATCAGGATCGTGAGTCAGCTAGTTGATCATGAGTACTTTTACGTAGGCTGCCTTTTATATTTCGGGATTTGAGAACAGGAACAAATACTATTTATTGAAAATCGCTTGACTGCCTTTCAAAAATCTCCACATTAAGATCTATACACTTTTGTATAGGCTCGAACCAATTTTCGAAGCAGTTTTGCCACTCTGGTGTAGGTAACTCTAAAACATGGATTCTGAACTCATCAACGGCTTCTTCGGGTGTCGAAAAAAGTTGTCCTCTCATTTTATTTTTTACGTACGGAATGAGAAGAAGTCACCTGAGGACTACATGGCTGATGACCTGTCAAATCGTTGTTTTGAGTGCTCAAAAATGCGGTTGTTTGAGCCGATGCGTTGGAGCTCGCATTGTCGTGGCGTGTGATCCAACGCCAACAAATTTTTTTACAGTCAAATGTTCATGCAATATTGAATGTATGCTGGTCCCACTAATGCCCAAGGTTGCCCCAATCTCACGATTGGTCACATGACGATCTCACAGTATTAGTTTGTGCACAGCATGAACTGTTCCCGGAACGACAACTGATTTTGGACGACCTCCACGAAATTCGTCTTCGAGTGAACTACGACCTCGAGTGAACTCACTGTACCTTCGATAAACACTGATCCTGGATGGAGCTTCATCCCCAAAAATTGGACCAAGTTCATCCATGCATTGCTGTTGAGTTAGTCCACGTCGAAAGTTGTAGAAAATAATCGCGCGAAAATGCCCACGGTTCAACTCCATAACTTGGCCGAAACAAAACCTTATAACTTAGGGTAAACAACTCCGATCGCGCTCAAAATTTGCAACGGAACCTCAAAATAGTCAAATTTTACGATAGTGGTGTCAGTTGCTAGATTGCTACACTAGTGTTTCCAAATCCCGAAATATAAAAGGCATCCCTCGTATCAACGAGTATGGGCAGTGTAAGCAGTTAGTACCAATTAATCCTTACCGGGGGATAGAAATTTTGTTGGTCCTGGTTCGCATACGTGCCCCTACCCTAGATGTGGCAGCGCCGCACTTATCACTCACCACGTCACCTTGCTTTAGAAACAGTGCAAAGTTGAGTTAAGCTTAACTTTAAGCTCCCAAATTAAACGATAACAAAACAAGGAGGACGAAATACTCTGTAAAAGCTATCTGGATTTAAATGTAGATGAGGAGCGGGGGTCCAACGATGAGCATTAGAGCGTAGAGGATGCGCAGCCGACCTCGCGGGCCCATAATGATGCTTAGAAAGTTTTTTAGCCAAGCACGACGAGCAGTCATCAGGTGCCAACAATCGGTTAAGTCAGAAAAAATAAAGAATTATCAACAGGGTCAACCTTGCGTGAAAAAACTCACGTAAAACAACTTTGATATTTTATTTTGTAGGTAGATAAATGATGATAATCAAGTATTGCCATTAGGTAACAACAGAAAATAGCAGCTTGGTGCCAGCTTCAGCAGTGGTGATATTCTTAACAAAATTAACTCAAAAATTGTGCTATTCAATGTAGAACAGAGTGAACTGACATATAAACCCTCCAAGAACAGACAGCTTCGATCATTTGGCTAACATCCAACGTCTATACACAAAAAACAAAGGAGCAAAGAAGGTAGATTATCACACAACCCGAAGTTCTAAAAACATAAAGACAAATGCAACAACATAGATCAAAGTAAAATGAACCCAACTATGGAACTTGATTACGGTAATCATCAAATAGCAAATATTGAAACAGATATTAAGTCTTGACAGATGATCATTGCAGCAGCACAAGTTTCCGTTGGCCTGGGCAGCGGACAACAACACGTCCTCCGGAATCGTACAACACTTCCGGAACATACTCGAATGGCGGACTATAATTCCCAAATGTTTACACAAAATTTATGTATTTCCCTCATGACATTCTACTCACTTTGGGAATGCTTCTAATCGTTCCTTGCTGGGATATACCATTTCTGAAGTATCTCGCAAATACCATCCATAGTTCCGCTTCTGAAAATAGGTCTGTCAAAAAGGTGAATAAACAATAATAGGTGAACTTCATAATGCGAGAGTGAACCGCACCGTTGCCTTCTCCTGTTCGATAATAGTCCCTTCGGGTAGGTCAGTGTATTCTATAGTTGCTAGGCAATTCCGATTTGCACATTCAAGAATACGACGTCCAGTACTTCCAACAGTCACAACACGCAAGCGATTTGCTTTGCAAAGCCAGCAACGTGAAGGCATTTTCTGAAAAACTGTTGATCAGTTAACTCAATTTGCAGACACAAAACACACATGCACACAAAATAGAAGGGTGTACTTGAAATGTGCAAGTAGGGCCATCAGAGGTCATGGGAATCATGGCCATTCGCGCCATGGGCAGTTGCCAAGCGCTCTAACATGACCAAATCGTTACTGCGACCGCCTACTCCGAAGGACAGCTTAGCATTGCTCAGTTAGGAATAACGAGTATCGAGGAACTAACGCTCCTGCATATGCACAACACATGTGAACAGTGTAGCGTAGCCGAAAGCACTACCATAGGGTCACTCCAAAAACTCTCATTACAAATACTTCTCTAGACAGACGTCTTGCAGAACATAAAGCCTCCCCATTTCCATATCTTTGCATCCACCACCTATCAGACTGACCCCTAAAATCCCATAACCTCATCCTCCGCAGTCTTTGAAATGGCCAAAAGTCCTTACTAGACTATAGATCTCAGGCAAACAGACGATGATAGAGCTCATTTGTTAGTAACTATTAAATAAATAAATAACAAAGTTTTAGGCGCTAGTCAATCCCGTCTGAGGGATGCGCCCCGCACTCGACTTCCATTCAGAACCGTAGTGGCGTAATGAGTGCGTATGTGGCCTATACAATGACTTGCGGTGGCCAGCCAATATACAATTCAGTGCCTTTATCCTCCCAGACGAGTCTGGTACCAAACCCCCACCCCCGGAGAGATGGAAGGCTTGGTTGGCCTATGCGGGCACCGATCCGGGATTCGAACCCCTGACCGTGCGTGTGATATAGTGCGCCACTTGCCGCTACTTCACCTCCACCCTAGTAACTGTTATTTCTCGAAAAATACTTGTTACAAGCAATTTTTCCTGGTGAGTGAAATTTTGCATACAACAGTGAACACTTAATGAGCACACTTCAATTGCAACAGGAGCGCTGCAGCTTCATTGACACAATTTTTGTTTGAAAAAAAGGCCTTCCGATCACAACAGGTAGAAAACATGATTGCACTTTGCTTGTGCATCGCCTTTTAAAAAGTCCAATAGAAAAAGGCACTTGATTGCATTCGAAGACATCAAAACAACACAAAAAGACCCTTTAACAATCTGCACCCCATCGTCCATGAGATTTTACGAAAAAGGCAAGATTCAAGCATTTACGTTGCTATTTCTACGAGGATACGAACCCATAGTGAGCAAAATAGTGAAAAAAAACTTTTACGAAAATGCCAAAAAAAGAAAAAAAGATGAGTGGAAAAAACAGAAAAACGATTGAACTCAAAAAATTGTAGGTAGCACTTTTCGTCAAATGACTACGCATTTCCTACTATTTGAACTATTTAATAAATTTTTGGGATACAATAAACTTCGACATTTCTACAGTTTCTACATACCACTTGACAAAAAACCTACCGGCCCAGTTGCAGCTTGCTTCTTTGATGCACTAGTACCTTGACCATCCATTGATTCACTGCCTGAAATCGATTGGTTTCGAATTTTCCCTGCACCCTGGGCGGCCGAATCTCACCGGCATCTCCTTCATCGCCGGGAGCCGCAGAACGTGTCACAGTTAAACCTTCATTACGACATTTTGCCAACTTAGAAATCAAAGACGGATCGATCTCAACAATTGCATCATCTATTGTGTACTGCAGTAATTCCATGCTCTTTGCTGAAAGTATCAAGCAGTTACGGGCATTTTCGAAAAAAGGGAAATGATGCAGTATTTTGTAAAACAACATATTCGTCAGAGCAACACTTGGAAAAATTGCTAATACTTTATTGCTAAAGCGAGATTCTTCCGTCCACAACCAAGACAATTGTCACATTAATTATCAGTTAGTTTAGGCAAGCGAGAGACCGACTAATTCTCCCGTTACTATGTAATGTTACAGCTTTATTTTAGAACCCAACACTAAAATGCACATATGAACTTTGCGAAAATAATTTACTCATTTGCAAAACTACAAAGATTGTTATCCATCTCATCGCTGACAATCCTAGCTGGCTGCATGAGGAAAGCATCGTAAATACCGTCTTTTGACAGGTCTTCTGGGGCGATTCGAGCGTGATCCTGCAAGATTGTAACGAATGTTATTAACCGGAATTCTCGTCTGGTTCACTGTAGAAAGGGATGAGCTCTTCGTTAGTGGGTTTGATAGTCCACACGATTACCTTTATAAAGTTGACAACTTCACGCTCATCCACATGATTCATCTCCAACTTTGATCCCCAAGAAACTAGAGCGAAAGGCTGAAAACGAATAATATATCTTTACCTCATAAGAATTGAACAAAATCTAAACCGTTCGAAAATGAAAAGGGGAGAAATGACCAATGATATAAAAGATTACGTACCCTTTCTGCAGATAATTTGTTGTAAGGTGTGATAACATGTCGGTAGAGACAAGCGGTAACAATTTTGCGGAGTTTATCTAATTCGTCTTGGTCGGCACATGGATGATAAAGCAAAATGATGGAACCATGCTGAAAAAGTTCGACATAACGATTAGAAAGGGCAGCCGCAACGTCACAAAAATGAAAATGAGCCCTACCTTGATAAGAAAATAAGCCCTCCCCCTGAGTGGCTAAAAAAAGTCTTTTTTTGGATCCCCTTCCTAGCACTACTTCAGTATACATATATGAAATTTATTGCAACGAAAAGTTTTATTGACAATTATGCACTCCAAGGCAGAATTATTCGTTTTGCCTCAAAAAAGGTAATAATCAAGTGTCTGAACTTTTGAAAAGTTTCCATTCACTGGGAAACACTTCAGTTGGATTAACCGGCTGAAAATATTAACAATGTTCGAATCAAAAGTTCAATCACCTCCAGATTATGTAGCCATCGTTGCTCAGGAACGTACAGATACTCGCCATATCTGGCCCAGTTTGGTCTGTGGTCTCCCCTGAAAATTGAGTATACTTTCCGATCAACTAACTAGTGGAATAAAGTAAGGATTGTATTCGATACAAGAGAAAACGAAAAGTCTAAAATAGAAATAGTCGGTAATTTTTGGCTACACACAAAATTGTTATTTCATCACACAATTAAAGGCACAGTTCACGATAATTTTAGGTAATCCAGATTATGATGAAAAATGGACGACAAGATAGAAAATAGTGCGGTGAAATGGAGAAACTGCGTGAATCGGTGTTTTCAAAGTAAAAAAGGCTTCGAAAAACCGTTAAACAGGGGCTGGACGAGAAGGAGACTAGAAAATGAAGGAGAGTGGGGCGTTTGGACGAGCTATACAATGTGTCTCATTGCGTGCGTGTGGGTCCTACAGACTATGGTAAGCAAAAATTCATTTACTTATAAGCATAAGTAAACAAAAAAAACCCTAGTAACAGCAAAAGTTGCTCACCTTTTCCAGCCTCGAGGAGTAGGGAAGCAAATGAGGGATTGCGGCAGCAAAAAGAATAATAAAGGAAAAAAGAATGGGAGAAAAACATCGCCTCTTCACTCGGTTATCAGCTGATTGTGTGCAGGTCCTAGAACGAATATTCGCAATCTGTATTGTCTCGACACTAGTCTCTGACGTCTGACGTGACATCGATCGAGAAGCGGGAAGGCCATTGACGTTCTCGCCCGTTGAATTATCGTGAACTGTGCCTTTGAAGTTGAAGTCTTTCAGCGGACATAGACTTGTGAGATGCGTTTGCGAATTCGAGTTCCATTTCGAATTAAGTTATTCATTAATCGTATAAGCCAGCACCTTTATCATACAATTTAGCCTGGAACCAATCAACCGACCCCCGAGAGGTGGATGGCACGGTTGGCCTGAGCGAGTACCTATCCGGGATTTAATTCCTGCACAATGTGGGTGTGAATGTGTACACTTATTATTACACCACCCCCACCTCAACAGTTTTATAATTGTCATATTAATTGAGGTCATAACACGATTTGGAACTGACTGCTCAAACTGGCTGCACAAAGACCTACGTGATTAACTCTCTATTATTCTCCGAGGTTATGAGCTAAGCGTAGGTGGAGTATTGCCACGTCTGCGGACAAAATTCCACTTGTACATTTGGCAAGACATCTGTACGTCCTTTTCTCGATCGGTAACTATGAGGCAAGCCTTCCTTCCTCCAGGATCGAGAAAAGTTTCACTCTTTCTTGTGAAGATGAATGTGTTGAAGCCCACACTGGTTCCACCACCAGCCAATGTACGCGCGGAACACGAAGTCAAACGATACTGAAGCATTCCAAAACAGGATTACTAGGAGGTCCTTTCAAATGATTCAAAAAATAGGCTGTGTGGATCAAGTTAATAAACTTCAGTGATCTCCTAGAGCCATTCGAAAGCGGAACATATTATCCGCAGTATCAGTCGTCACTATGAGTATAAAAGGGGTGGTGTGGCGCACTATCACACACGCATGGCCACGGGTTCGAATCCCGGACTGATATCCACGTAGACCAACCAGGCCTTCCATCCCCCACGGGGTCGGTTAGTTGGCACCAGGCTCGTCTTGGATGATAAAAACAATGTCTGTTCATCGGCGGCTTTAGCGAGACATTGTATAGGCCACATACGCATTCATTAAGCCATTACAACTCTGGCCCAGACTTTATCCTTTAGCCTTTACTAGCATAAAAAGGTAATGAGAAAAGAAAAACCTTAGAGGTGGAGCAGTATCATATTCAATTTTCTCCGACATGCATTTGTGATACACCACGTCCGTTTTTGGGTTGAATGATGAGTTTAATGTCTTCAGCTCGAAGAGAATAGAACCAACATCCTGCAAAAATTCATTAATAGAATTCAAGAAAAGTAAACAACATATGATATTAGCTTGCCTGTTTAACGGGAAATGGATCGGCCATACATGTGAATGTAGTGAAGTCACTAGGATTCCAATCGACATAAAGATTAGACTGTAATAATTCCGAATTAGCGAGAAAGCAGACGAATAGAGAAATGTCACCATGAAAAGATAATTAATGGAAATCATACCTTCCCATCGTCGCATTGGTTCTGCATGCCCATTTTTGGTCCTAGATACGCAGAAGTGCAATGCAGTAGCGCCAATACCGCACACACTCGCCACATGCTCTTGTCTACGATGAAATAGAGCTCAACAAAATATCAGAAAAATGTATGTCGTCAAAAATTTATGTTTACATACAAAAGCCACTACAAGACGAGAAGCCATAGAAATTTGGGAGAAAAAACAAAACAAACATAACAACAATTTGTAACAATATAGTCTCCGCACCGAATGAAGGAGTTATTACTATAGACTGCTTTCGGAACTCTAAGTGGGTAAGAGACTGATTTCGAGGGGAAAACAGTTGAACGCTTCGTTGAAATCGAGGCTCTAAGTTGAAAAGTCAGCGAATTATATACGACTGACTAAATTGCCATCTACCTCAACAGCAATCGATGGTAATAACGACGTATTCGGGCTCATAATGAAATGTCCATCATAACCTTGAAAATAACACAACAGCGTTGATGCAAAAGGATATTCAGAGAATACGAGCGCAAAGGCCGAGCCTTCCTTCATTTATGGCACACAGGATATTGAGCGGAACCGCTCCTCTTAGAAATCGCTGGTCTCATGCAATGCCACCCAAATGAAGTGGAAAGGAAAATGTAAAAGCGTAAGAGAGGGCAGTGAAGGAGCGAAGAAGGGGATTGATGACTCGGACTCTCTTTCTGCAAATACTGAAGATTCAAGGAATGCAATAGCGATTTGCGTTCAATTCAGTTACTGGCTACTTTAGAACAACTTATGAGAAAAGAGACTTGACAATAAAATTGACTTTTGTAATGAAGGGTGAGAGACAAAGGATGCCTCAGTATTTGAAGAGGCCTAGCTGCAAAGAGCTATTTCCATGCCGTTCCCTAGGAGCAAGATTTATGGGTTTCAGCGAGTTCAGGCCAGCGTAGCAATTAGCAAGTCGCATCAACCATGCATTACTAGTGACAAACCGTCACGAACCAGCTCGAGTTTCTAAAATAGTTAATTCAGCAATCAAGATAGAAGTCCGGCCAACAAGGAACCGAACATTTCACAGAAGTTTCCACTTCATTTATCCCGTTTCAGAGTCTTTCAGCACCTCAAAACCAAAGAGATTTCCTTTTGTAAATTCTAATGATGCTCGCATGGAGTCCATAAAATTGATAGGGTTTTTTGGCTTTTCAACTGAAATATGATTGTCTCTGGACTTGAAACATATAGGCTAGCATTACTAGTACCTACAGCGTCAGGCGCTGACGCTCGACGCTGTGCTCTGAAACCGCCAGTCAGCGGCGTCATCCTCGTACCAATATTGCGCCGAGATTTCTACTTTAAAGTCAATCGAATGAAGATGTTAGCAGCATCCATCAAAATGTAAATGTAACCCTAACAACAGCCCCGAATTACAGAAAGGAAGAACTGGTTGGTAACTCGAAAATGAAGTGATTTGCAAAGCAAGAAATTGAGAACCTATCGCAGCCTTGTTGACAACGGCAAGGGATAAGTGAGTAGTTTAGGGAAAGGGAATACGACTCATTGCATAGTAGCAAACCCCAAAGATGTTTCCTCAGTGCAGTGGTAGAGGCAATCCATAGGACACCATCCTCTATGCATTCCAAGAAACTCTTCAGAGTGATCAGCGAGAGTGGATCGAACCAACTGGTCAAGGCCATTTCGAGGGCTCGCGCACTATATGTTCACTTGCGTGCACACATGCATTTGTAACCGTCATCTAGTAATGGCACTCGTATTCTGAGAATATTTGACTCACGGGATAGGCCTGTTGGATAAAAAAAGAAGCAGGATGGCAATGACAGCAACAACAAACAAAGAGTAAACAATGTAAATCAACAATTCTCAAAAAGCAGTCTACCTCTAATTGAGATTCCTAGTTATTCCGACACTATAACCTGCACTGTTTTACTTGAAGACAAAATAGAATTAGCTAATTCAGTTCCAAAAGTATTCCGTAGACGAATCCTATCGTATTTGCAATAAAACAACACAGAGCTAAACCTGTGAGCAGCTTCACAACTCGCCATATTGATAAATTCGCTATATAAGTCTGGATGAGAAGGAAGCTGATAAAACACTATCTTCGCCATGCCCTGAAACAAGAGAGTTATGAAATGCAATGAAGAGATGCTAACTAATGTTGCGTTTGAAAACGATAGAATATGAAAGACTTAATCACAAAATGAAATTCAGTCATTCAAACGAAACTGTCATTGAGGATGTTTGCTTTTCCTAGTAACTGCATATATTTCCATACAAAATGAACATTTGGATACACTTACATACGGTATATTATGAAACTTGAACATCAAGAATAACGATGAACAAGCAACAACTTGCTATCATTACAGCTAGCCTTACACAGATAGCCGCGGAAAATGGTCTGAGCGACTATTCAAGCAACCTAGTACATTCGCAAAAAAAGAAAACAGGAAATACCCAGTATTAGGGTTTCACCTCAGGAACCTAAAACCTCAGGCACAGCGTCGGCCCTCAGTGCACAAGTTGCAAAGCAGAAGCGGGAGATCTAAATTTTAGATGACGTAAGGCCAGCTAGGAGCATTAGCGCTAGAGGGCTATAATCGTACAAACGCATTTCTAGGATTTAGTCCACAGGCTGATCTAAGACGTCATTGAATGAAGATTCTCATGTTGATTAGGAGGCAACCAAAACCAGTTCAGTCAATACTTGAACAGGTAGAGGCAGAAACGTGCAAAGATGAGTAAGTTGAGTGAGGAAGTACAGGCAATTTCAAATTGATTCAAACAACTTTTTATATCACCGACTGCAGACGATGAGAGTATGCGCGGAATCGTCTAGGGAGCACACACTGCGGGCCAGCGCTAACGATTTTGATGCGAAAGACAATGGCAAACTTTTTAACATCTTATAAGAACAAATAAGAGCCTTGCTCATTCCGTTTTATAGACTTCAGCGAAAGCGATGAGCAAGCATACAAAACGTGCAAACAAAAAAGAGGAAGAGAGTCAGTATTACCGTCACCTGCACTTGTAGCACACAGCGCGAGGTGGCAGCGACTTCCGCGACAACTTTTTTTGCAAAATCGACAGTTCCTCAGAAAGAGCAAGTATGAGTCATCTATGAAACCCTTTGGAACCAGACGAATTTCAATTTGTCATGTTTTCCCACCGTCTGCCGAGGAACTGTGGTTCCTCGCACGACAAAAAAAAANAAAAAAAAATCAGGTAAATATGATTTATCCGACGTAAAGAAGTAGACTGAGCCGTTATACGCTTCCGTTTTTTACACGCGCTTGAATTTACACTGTACGTCCACTACTCGACAATCTATCAAAAAGAACGATGACAATGTAAATAATGATGGCGTTTCCCACATTTACGATAAAAGGCGGCCTAGAAACGAAGCAATCATAGCTCGGAGGTAAGAACGCCTCCACAGGCAGCCCCGCCTCTAGATGGAGCGGCGAGCGGCTTTTCAATAGGGGTTTACGAAAACTAACCCCTTCTCGCTCACTCACAGAACGCTGCCAATGCGTTATAACAGTGCACAGACGAGCAAAACTGACCACTTCCCTCAAGTCCTATTTCGATCAACCACTTACACAAGGCTCCGAGGTGGCGGGTTTTGGGCAATTTCATTCAATTCGCAAGCATCCCATCCAACGCGTGCGGTGCTATATGTAGACAGCTGTACAAACTCTATCCCCCAATTTATCCCTGATGAACAGTTGTGAAAAAGTACGAATTGAAAGGGACAGGAAATATAGTGGCATAGGCGAAAGAACTACCAAAAAATATTATAAATAAAATAAAGTGCACTTTATATATCTTTGTGATCCTCTTAGCACGTGTCAAATTGGGCAGCGTAGGACGTAATGGTTAGGAAGTCACGATAAACAAACATTCAGCTTGCTATCTCTCGCCCAATTAGTATTCCCGATGCATCGGCGTTCAACTTGTAAAGTAATGTTTACACAGCAATCTCTTGAAGCACTCAAAATCCCTCTCTATAAATTTTCAGGCCACTCTAATTTTGATGGCTCTAAGGCTGACTTGGTATACCGGTAAGCGGCGCTCTACTGAAGACATGGGGAACAAATCCTGTATCGAACGTCAAACCCTTTCCCTCCAACATTCCGCAGTTACTTGCACTTCCATCCAGGAGTATAAACAAAGGCTTTCCTTAAGGTGTATTCCGAAATGGTGCTGATAGCTGAAAGGCATAGTTCACGATGATTTTGGGGTATCTATTGTAGTTTCAGACGAATAATGGTATTGGTAGTCCAGAATAATTCAAAAGTACATACTTATAGAAATATAAGAGATCAAAAATATTAAAATTAGGGTCGGACGAGAATGTGGCGAAAAAAGTTGCATGGAGGGGGGAGGGGGAAAGAGTATTTGATCGAGCTGTCCGAATGTGTGTGTGTGTGTGTACAGCTGGTTACAGTAAACCGTCTGCATGTAACATGTGCGTCCTGCTGGGAATGACGCAACTTCTACAGCCTCTACAACGTCGTGAGAACTCGTCCTCTTCATATGGGTACGTCGGCTGAGCCGAATTCGGAGCCCTTATTACACCCTATATATGCGGTTTCTCGACCCAACAGCGTCCCCTGTGCTATCGTTGGGGATCACTGGTTCATCTTAGGAAGATTTTTCATTATTAACGGTGTCTTGAATGGGCTATTAGTACCGTGTTATAAAGAATTGCTTGCCACAATCGTTTTTCAACATTATAACTTTCCCACCCGGTATTCTTGCCTGTATAGATAGAATGATATGAACTTTACTATTATCACCACTGGAAATTCGGAATGTAACTCGTTAGTCCAGTTTAAGCCTTCGAAAAGACTGCGCTATGAACAAAGGTGTAAGTGCAGTGGGTTCAAACAAAAAACTTGATTAGATCGCTGACAAACCAAGCACATTCACTCCTGAACGGCTCTTACATCTCTACACTTTTCGTTTTTGCGTTCACATAGGACGAGTTTTGATTCATATTCTGACTAGAAATCTTATCGGTTACTCCCACTTACTTTTGGAGCACTCTCGCATTTCGGGCAAAAGTGAGGTAATGCCAGTAGCACGCTACTGCACATATGGCCCTGGGATCAAATCCGTGTCCACAACTTGTCCAGCGATTAGGCCCTCCTTTCATTCAAGCCAGATGGAACCAGTTCAGGAAAATAAAAGCATTGACTTGTACATACGGCCTGCCACTACAAGTAATCGCACTGCCAGTGGACGTCTACCAAGTGAGGGAATGACGTCCGAGAACTTAGCTTCATCTGATGATTTTTGCATTATTTCTTGTTCGATGGAGAATAGGTCCCTTCGAATTTGCATTACTAGAGTAGTAAACGTAAAATTGGAGAGCTGGATTGTTCAGGGTCAACCAGCTCACAAAACTTCAGCCTTTTTTCAATGACTCGCTTAATCTATTTCATCTGAGATGAAAGTGTGGCTGGCAGCCGCCGGATGACCGGTGAGAAAGATATTACTGGCAAATGAAAATATTTTGAAGGGCAACAAAACATGTTTCCAGAGTCAAATGCTATGCGAAGGCCCCAAGAACTTGCAGTTAGACCGGTTGCTCGCCCTCAATCTTTGTAGTTGCATATTCAATAAACGTCGTCATGAGATAGGGATGACGATCCTGACAGATCTACCTGCACCACACTCTTCTCGTCATCTTCTTTGCTGACAAAAGAACAGTACGATAGAATCTATATCCAACAACCAGAACGACCCCCGTTTGGTTAAAACATCAGGAATCATGAAACGCACATCGCCACGCCTGATTAATACTTAGGAAATGATCCACGGTGCTTCAGTTGTACTGTGCTCCCACTCACAGTGACTAGCCTGTTCAAAACTGATGCTGACGCAATCTCCCAACCTCCTTACCAAATCTGGATTAAGGTCGCCACATATAAGTCTTCTAAACTTTTCTGACACTTCAACGTTGCACCAAAGCCTTTCCATCTCGCCTTATTAAAGGCACGGTTCACGATAAAAAAAGACTTCTGAGTTCTTCACTTATGAAGCTCAGTGGCCCCAAGGCTAATAGAAATTACCCTCTCGCACCCCAAAAACCCTACTGTTAGGGCATAGCGTAAGCCCTATTCCTGGCTCGCGCGGCCTTCCCGCCCTTCGGTCGGTTTCACGTCAGACGAGTGTCGAGGAAACACAGATTGCAATTATTCGTTCTAGGACCTACACACAATCAGCTGATCGCCGGGTGATGAGACGATGTTTTCCTCCCATTCCTTTTTCCTCTATTATTCTTTTTGCTGCCACGATCCTTTATTTAATTTCCTACCCCAAGAAGATGAAACAGGTGAGCTAGTTTTTGCTGTTACTAGGGTTTTTTGTTTACTTATGCTTATAAGTGAATGAACTTGTGCTTACCATAGTCTGTTATTTGCACGAGGACCCACACGTACGCAATGACGCACTGGGCGTAGCTCGTCCAATTGCCACACTCTTCTTCATTCTTCTGGTCTCATTCTCGTCCGGGTAACGGAACTTCTCCCCTATCGCGGCATTCTCCCTTGCGGCTTGCGGCAAATGTCACTGCAATTACCGTACTCCCGCCAATCGATAGGACGCGGAATTTTTCGTTGATTGCCTTGCTTTTTTATTAGATTTAATCGTTTTTTCTTCTATTTCTTTTTCGTTTTCGTGTTTATTAGACTTGATTAATTAGAATGACCCCTCCTACATAAACGACGATCAAGAGCGCATTGGAATTGAAAAGAGCGGCCAGCCAATTCAAATAATTAAAGGACTCCCTACCTCACAAATTGCGCGCTCCANCTCCAATCTTCCATCGCAATTCCGCGATAGGCGGCGGGTGCGGAGTCTGCGACGCCGTGTTAGGGGAGAAGTTCCCGGACCCTTCTCGTCCAGCCCCGTTTTTAACGATTTTTCGAAGCTTTTTTTTTCTATTTAGAAACACAACCCTTCACGCAGTTCCTTCGCCTTCATCGCACTGTTTTCCACCTACTTCCATCTTTCGTCATAATCTGGATTACCCAAAATTATGGTGAACTGTGCCTTTAATTGAATGTCGACAATTGAGCACTAAATTTAGGAGGAAACTCGTGACTATTTGTAATGTATGAAGCGCTCAAGAAAAGACTCCAGGGTGGAGGGCAAAAATATTGCATACTTCGAAATACATCATTCTAACGGCCTACTGCTTGAACTTGATACTTGCGAGATATTAGCGCACATAAGCGCCCGCAAGTCAAGGAGACTCACACAACATATATGTCCAAAACAGTAGACTTGATCTCTCCCAACACGTGCATATACTCTGTTGATACACATTTCATAATCACAATTATTTTTACAAAATTATTACCGCATGCACTAGTGAAGGGGCAAATTATGATTTCTGTACGAAAATCACATGCATGGACGAACTATTTAATCACTTATTATTGAAAAAAACAAACTTGTCATCATTTCGGAAAATAAAGAAAATAAAAGCGTGGAACTTTTTCAGTTATTCCGATCAAGACCACTTTGGAATGACAAACACATTCAATTTTTGTTCCGACCGTAACGACCTCTCAGGCGAAACTCATTCCAAACAGTATGGGAGGCTAGGGTAGCTGGCAAGAATTCATGGGTAATGAAAGTGATTGGCAGAGCCTCACCTCGGATCCCACTTCAAATAAAATATCAGAGGATTGAGTCCGGATTATACAGAGCACAATCTTTACCCGAGCAATTACAACAGCTGTTCTGAGACTACCTGGTTCAAGTAAGTTTCAAAGCAATTTCTTTACAAAGTCTACAGATCATTTCGGAATAACTTCTTAGTCTGCCATTACTTTTTCATACCGTCAAAAGCAAAACGCCAACGTTTCGCACCGATTCCGCTCTGCGCTCAGGATGCCATAATCTATCCGTTCTTTTAGCAAGCTATTGTAATTTCAGCCCGATTACTGAACTAAAATTAACGTTTAAAAAAATATAGCGAGAAAGTAAAACATTTGTACAGCATTACATGCAGTGAAGAGACTTCAAGGAAAATATGGTCGTATAGTAAACAGCTCGGATAAAAAACTGGATCTAGTCCGCCTTCAAAAGCGCCCAACGCGATACTCAGCGACAAAGGGGGTTCGAAACCAGTTTAATCGCATATCGTGCGTAGAGACAATAGCATCGAATCGCGCGGATACTTCAGCGTTGATCTTAATGCAAAGCTAGTCCATAAGAAATTCCAAAGGCTGTTATGGGGGTTTTGAAAACAGCCTCAAAGTTTTGACCAGTAAGAACATTTAGAACAAGAATGAAGAAAATAAACAATATTGCCGCAATTGTACATCGCACCGAATAGGATCGAAGCTTTTGGAAACACACCTTCAGAGGTTTTCTATTGAAGTAGTAATATCGTTCGGTCACCAAAAGCACTTTCTTATGTTTATGATAGAATAGATCCCGGGCTCGGAGAATCTGAGAGCATAACCATATTGAGGTGGAAAAGGATCAACAATTAACAAATACCTGATGGAAAAGGCTAACCTTGGTTTTTGGTGCATACTCGTGACACGCGACAAAGCTTTCTTCAATCCTTTTGAAGTGATTCCTCACACGGACAAAGTCAAAATAGGACGGGATAACTACACAAGTGCCAGGAAGTAAACTGGCAGCACACTATAATGCAATAAATACTACTGTCAATCATAGAAACCATTCGCCGTGTCACCTACATATTCCTTAAAGCAATTGAACCTTGAAATAGCTTGTTCGGAAGCGCTGCTCACAGCAAAACGTCGTAGTTCTTGACACAATGGTATTTCAATCTATAATGACTAATCGAAGATACGTCAGAATTAAGAGAAAAAACTGAACTAAGACGCAAAAAGAAGCACTGAGAGTTGTTAAAACACAAACACAACACAAATTTCCTCTTGATAAAACAAAAAGAAGCCCTCTGTGCTGGCTTTTTGATCACGACATACCTTTTTTGATTACGAGCTTTTGTCTTATTCGCTACATATGTTTATGAATAACAAAGAAAACAAAAAAAAAAACTCACTTTGTCAAGTGTACCGACGCAAAATGCGTTTGGTATTACCAAACCGTGAAAGTTTAGCGAATGTTCCAAGATGAGAGCAGAAAAAAGTTCGTGCTCATAACGTGAAAACAGCAGCAGTTGGCAGTAAAACTTGGACAAACCATCTAAAAAGTAAAAGTGACTAAATATCGAATGGCAAGGTAAGTTGTCGGGCCACACGAGCTCTTTCATAAAAATTAAAAAGCAACAGCAACAGCAGCAAGGAACGTACCAATGTAGCATTGCCGAACTCTCGATATATCTGTTTCTATCTTGGATGGCTGCGTATGCATGTGTGAGAAAATGATTGTGAGGTGCTCCCAATTTTGTTGTAACATGATGTCAGCCTGGAAATCTCGAAACCTTCTACGGTACTACATGGAAAAAGAAATACCCTAAAATTCCATAGATAAGAGCGGGTGAACCTACCGGTGAAAAATAAATTGGAAAAAATCGAAATTGAATGCAGTCACCCCTCTAACTTGATGGATGGATAAATTAAACTTCGAAGAAGAAGTTAAGAAGAAGCTCCGNGTAACATGATGTCAGCCTGGAAATCTCGAAACCTTCTACGGTACTACATGGAAAAAGAAATACCCTAAAATTCCATAGATAAGAGCGGGTGAACCTACCTGTGAAAAATGAATTGGAAAAAATTGAAATTGAATGCAGTCACCCCACTAACTTGATGGATGGATGAATAAAAATCGGAGAAGTTTAGAAGAAGCTCCGCCCCTCAACTCTAAACCCCGCTTGCTTAATAAACAATTCATATAGAAAAATGGCGATTTTAACGGATCGCTGTTTTTTCTATATGAATTGTTTATTAAGTGGACGGGGTTTAGAGTTGAGGGACGGAGCTTCTTCTTAACTTCTTCTTCGAAGTTTAATTTATCCATCCATCAAGTTAGAGGGGTGACTGCATTCAATTTCGATTTTTTCCAATTTATTTTTCACCGGTAGGTTCACCCGCTCTTATTTATGGAATTTTAGGGTACATATTAAATAAACACTGTACCTTGTCAACAACAGCTATCTGAATACTGGAAATCAAATGGCTTTCTTTACCAGCATCTCCGTCAAGAATCATGCGAAGACCAAGAGGTGAACAAAGAATGATGTCTGACTATAAAGAATAAGGAGCTTCTTTAGGCATTTAATCATTTCTATGGATGAGAAGATGTAACAGCAAACCTTATCAAACGCTTCAAACAATTTGAGAACTTTTTTAGAGATAGCTATACCAACACGAAAGCAGTCGTCGTTGTTTCCCGAAATAAGCTCCTAAATAATTAAATTGTTAATACTTATGTTATATTAATATTTAAATATTACAAACTTTGTATTCTTCACAAATCCTCGACTTGAACGAAGGAGCAGGTTCACTTTTGAATTCGGTGATGAAACGATCTCTACTCCACGTCGAGACCTTATCTGAAACAAAAAAAAAAACAGATTGAAGGGGTGCAGGATTGTAGTAAGGAATAAAATGGAAATTCAAAGTTCGTACTTTTTCCAAAAATCAAATGTTCGAGCCTTTCCACTATATCGAACGCATCTTTTTTGAAAGGGCAAAGAATCAAAACAGTTGGTCTGACAAAACCTTGATCCCGTGAAGCTTCTATCAACTCCTCAGTCGCTTCTCCCTTGACAAAATAAGATTAAAATAGTACTACATAGCAGAATAACCACTTTGACTCTGATAAAAGCTACTTTTATGAGATTGCAGCAACATAAACTGAAGAATAGAATAAAGAATAGAAAATAACCTTTGCGCTAGCTAGAGTCAAGTTTCGACTATTTGATATGATGAGATTTCTTGTTCGTACAACATGGTTGACGATGTGGGCCAAATAAACCGTCTGAAAGGAAGTATCATTTCAAAGAAATAGAAATTCAGCTATTCGAGGAACATTCACCTACTCTATAAGCATAATGCTTTGGAGCTGGATGTGCGTAAAGATCCATATACCTCGAAATTACATTGAGAAAGTCTATCCTTTCCGCGGGATCTGCAAAGAAACATATTTCAAACCTAATTTTCAACTTCTTTCGCGATCGCTTAGGGAAAAAATCTGAGTAAAGTAAGCCACAATTCCCTGAAAGCAAAATAACAAGAAGGAAGCCAAATAACCTGTATCGTCCTCCATATTCTGAAGTAAGCCTTCGCTCCAGCCTGTATCGTTTACAGAAAACGAGCTTTGATCAAGGGTAGGCTAAACATGCGGAGATTTCAAATGAATTAGGAAAACGCGTCAAAGTTGCGGGCAAACCTTCTCAATTGTTCCAACGAACTCTGTGACAGGACCAAGCGCACCAATATCATAACTTCGTTGAGTGCGTTGCCGCTTTGGTAGACTTAACAGATCAGCTGCTGAGCTGGATAGTACATATTGGAAACGTTGGGTGAAGGCATCAATGGGTCCAGACTGAGACGATCCCTCAGCTGACATGTTCTGCTTAATTGGAAATTCATATTATGTGCCCTGCTTTACAGCTTTCCTTTTTCGCAGAAAACATTCAAAAGAAAGTGGAATTTCTTGTTTCAAAGTACAACGAGGTCACACAAAACCTCATCGATGAAAAAACCACATTTCATGTTAGTCTTTTATCACAAAAGGTATAAGCATCTTAATTATTAAAAAGTTTCGTGAGAATCTCTGCCACATAACAAAGCCTTAGTAACGCCATGATTATTAGTTTAAAACAGCACCTACTTACATATCGCCAATGAAATTAAAACGAAACGGGAACTGAAATCAAGAGATTGAACCAGCACAAATTCAAAGAGACTATTTTCAAATTATTCTTGAGAGTGAGGTTCATTTCTCATGGCATCGGGAACAGGCGGAGGTGTAGACAACTCATCAATGATCGGTGCTGATTCGCCTCTCATCATCAATGCCACCATTGCCGGAGTTTGAGCCTAGGCACGGACACACTTGTGAAAAAAGAACAAAAAAGGAAAATGATTTGTTCCAAGAGTTGACCAAAACAGAAAAGGAACAAAGGCAAAAACAAATAAAATAAAATGATAAAAATTCTCAAACTGACTATGAGCAAGCAATATAATTCATGAGAAACGTACTTTTGCGTTGTTCACGGTGAAACCACTTTCCGCTAATGTTTTCTTATCGTCAAGTGGTTGGAAATTAGTTGTAGTATCATCTAACAAACGAACAAGCACCTGATCGGTAACTGGAATCTGAAGTTCGATTACGATAATGCCAGACCAACTAAGGAAAGCAGAATCAAATTGAACAAGGAACTTAGAGGCCTTTCAGTTGAAGAAGCTAGATTTCTCAACTATAAATAAAAAAGTTCATCAAAACAAAGTTCAAGGCAGAACTGATGCTGAGGTTAAGAAATAGCTACAAAATGATATAGATTGCTGTTATAACAATTACTGTCTTATACAGCTTACCTTCAGAACACCCTCAACTATTCTTTTCAGTTCGAGTACTGGAGCTGAATCCTTCGCATCACAAAAGACGTGTTGTTTTTCTCGAACAATTTCGAAGAAAAGCTCATGAACCTTGAATAAAATGGTACCGCCTTCAACGTTGAAAAGTGAATTGTTAGAGCTATATTGAGTTGCTTACCATTTTGTTTATGCAGGAAGGATTGAGCGACTGCCTCTTCCCAGAGATTACAAATGACTGCAAATGTAGACTTTTGTGTGAATTTCCTTTTGAGAGAATGTGTTGAGAAACGGGCAGAAAACAGAAAAAGAAGCAAAAAATTGAACTAATCAGGTGCGAAGGTGGGACAAGAGGCACAATTTCTGCGTTTTGTAAATACAGCGTTCATTAAGACTCGATTGAGCATGGCAGAGTTTTTTCATATTTGTTTATAATTCTCTTTACAAAATTCACAACACAATTCACATTTTACTACATTCAATTTGAAAAAGCTGCCGATGAGGACGATGACAATGAAGAAAGTCAAAAATAGAAGCCGATACAAAGTTGAGTGGGTAAGACTAAATTACACACAGATTGACGGAATAGATAGCAAATTGTAAGAACTGACACAAAAAGCGAGAAAATTAAGGATAAGGAACGTTAGTTGGATGGAGCTGCTCATCCTCGTCACGTTTCGGATCGTAGGCAATGGTAGGTAATGTAGAAGTAGTAGTGGTAGATGAACAATGGTTCATGGGAAAAGATAACAACAGATTAGTGCTGATAAAGGGTGTCACCTGTGCCATACGATTCATTTAAACGGCAAATAATAGACGCAAATTTGAAAATGAGTAGGCCTATCGGTACAAAAACAACGGCTGCTCAAAACCGATTGGGAGGATTTTTTAGCAAGTTGAAAGAAATGCTTCGAAATGGCATCATTTTTTGAGAATTAACATTCACAGCACCTGCTCCCATGAAAAGAGTATGTTAGCGAACTGGTATAAAAGCTGGAATCACATCAATATTGAGAAAACGCTTCGTAACAATGGAGCTAAATTGACAAAAATTCAAAAATTCAGCAGAAAAATCAAAGCAATTGCAATGAATTCGAAAATGAATGCCCATTGTAAAGCAAGGTGGGGGATCTTAAAAAGCTCCGGTTCACCTCATAGCCTCTCAGACGTAGTGAAAGAAATGACGGAACATTGACGTCTACAGAATAGCTCTAGCGAATTCAATGAATGTGAGAAACCATCAGGAGCTTCTCTAGAAACGACTACAACTAAAGAAGTTTGGCAAAAGTCCCGGGAGCCCCCGACGTAATGACACGGAATAGCACAGAGAGGAATAGAAAGCATTAAAGCGTTACACCCAGACCACACTGAAGACCTTTTCCCCATCCTATTTTTATTTCCCAAACGTAAAAAATGAGTCGATTGGTTGAAATGTTCATCAGCTGTTCAAAAGTACATCTGGGATACCGTAACGCTTCCACCTGCGGGTCGAAAAGATTGCGATTGGAGCACGGAAATATATAGGGTATCGTTAGGGAGAACAACGGGAAAGATCGGTCCGGAATTAGCCATTTCCTTCTGATGTGGTGCCTGAGTGGCTTCAAATAGTGAAAGGCGGAGGTTGTATGGTGCCAAGTGGCCCACCTCTTTGGGGAAGTTAGTAAAAAAAATAAATAAAAATTAAAAATAATAGAAATCCAGCCTTTCTATTTGTCGGAAAGAGGATGTAAGATAAGCCACTCTAGAGCTGCCGATTCCTCAGGGATGCCATCTCTGAGACGTTCGGTCTGTATTGTCGATAGTAATCGAAAGGGGAGCGATAGTGTCAAGAAGCTCATCGCTCTATAAATCGACAGAGGGAGGAAGAGAACGAATTTCGGTTCGGTACTTTTCCAAGCCTACCAAGAATTCAAGGGCCGGTGGATCACAACCAGATCCACCGGGAAAGATAAAACATTGAGTTGCACCTCGGGTAGCCCTTGGGAGACAGTGCAAAGCCAAATACAAATTCCGACATCAATCTGATTTTGAATGGGAGTCGAATACATGGGTGAATCCCAAAACAGACCCAATTAACATCAGAAAACATTCAACTTTTATTATTGCAACAGGATAAAAAGTATAGGACACTCTGAAGGTACGAGTAAGTGAAGGTAATGAGAAGGTAGAAGCACAAGTATTCGGAAATTAAACTATATCAACTTTTGGGTGAATTGTGAGCCAACCGGTAATTTGCAGGTTACAAAAAACAACAAAATTCACAACTTTGTACATGTGTTGTACCTGTTGCGTTGTTTAACTATGGACCATGGACTACATTTCATTTAAGGGCATCTAAATTGAGTTTTTAAAAAATACTTCAATTTTTGTAAAGTTACCGAGAAGTGAAGATTTTAAACATCCCTATCTATGAGAAACTCTTCTGGAGCCTTTTCTAACCCTCAGAAGTATCGAGAGGAATTCAAAATGCGTTTTTCTAGGTTGCAGAGGTGACATGACTTCTAAAATGACATCTTAAAGGAATTGCTCAAGGACACTGTATAGAATACTGTAACTGTTCACAAATTCAATGAACAAAATGATATGATTAATAGGTAATAAGTTATTCAACGAAAATATGGTGATTATTAAGAAAAAAGAATAGGTTCATGAGTAAAATGTTAGGACATTATGATGATTGCCCCGAATTAGAAGCACACATTGTAGACCATGAGATATCGTTTCCAACCAATTCGTGTAGAGACCACTGCTTACATCCTTTTGAGGGAATGGTAACGTGCTGAAAATCCAGATGAATAATTCCAATACATGTACTTACTAAAGATATCATTCAACCAGAAGTTTCTTCTGCAAATACTTCATCAGAAAAAGCTCTCCTAAAGCGGGGTCTTGAAAAATTCATGGGCAGCGTATGCAATGGATTGGCCATGTTCAAAAGTTCTCGTAGATGTTCCGCCCCATTCGGATGACAGTCGGATTACCACCAAAGTGGGACCCACCCGTAAGCTAGGGACAGTTGTCTATGACAGAACTCCTTTCCGTACCCGCCCTCATGAGCATGATGGTAAGCGCTTTTGAAGCTTTCCTCAGATCTATCTGTTCATAGGGGACGTCGCTCCGCGCGTCCGTCGAAACTAGGTCACCCCGCATGTTCGCGCGCGGCGCAGGCCACTGCGATCTCGAGATGGCATTACAGTACCACTCATTGTCAGTGGAGCAAACGATTTGAGTTGGACAGTGTTATGTTCATTTAAGACTGACTTGACTGCCGTGGAAGAAGCACCAATCGTATGCTCCACTGACAACTGCGACATCAGCCAAAAATCGCGTGCTGACGCGCCGCATGCGACGGCTGCGGTGTGACCTAGTTTCGACGGACGCGCGCAACGAAGCGCACCCATCTGTTCATGACATTGCCCCTCCCCCCTCCTCCCCCATAGGCGGTAGAAGGGAATCTCTCGCTCCCACAAACTCGGCGTTCAAGGCATAGTGGAAGCCCCGTTGCTGCCGTAGTTCGCTTTCCCGCCCCTCGATCGGTGTCACGTTAGACGAGTGTCGAGACAATACAGACTGCTATTATTCGTTCTAGGATCCACGCCCAATCAGCTAATCGCCGAGTGATGAGGCGATGTTTTCCTCCCATTCTTTTTCCTCTGTTTTTCTTTTTGCTGCCGCGATCCCTTATTCAATTTCCTACTCCTAGAGACTGAAAAAGGTGAGCTACTTTTGCTGTTACTAGGGTTTTTTTTGTTTATTTATGCTTATAAGTGAATGAATTTTTGCGTACCATTGTCTGTTATTCGCACCAGGACCCACACGCGCGCAGTGAAACATACCATGTAGCTCGTCCGGACGCCCCACTCTTCTTCATTTTCCTTGTTTCATTCTCGTCCAGCCCCCTTTTTAACGTTTTTTCGAAGCCTTTTTTCACTTTGGAAACACCGATGCACGCGGTTTCTTCACCTCAGTCGCACTAGTTTCGATCTTGTCTTCCATTTTTCATCATAATCTGGATTACCCAAAATTATCGTGAACTGTGCCTTTAAAGTGCAGTAGCAGAGTGTACAACCGTGTGAAAAGCAATTACCCGAACTTTGAAAACTGGGAAATCACCTGAGGTGTCGATTCTGTAACAACTGGTGTTTTCAGATCACTTGGCAGCTGCCGTCAAATATCAATGCATCAACACCTACGCCTGAGTTACTTAGCAACAAAAATTGTTGCTTAATCTCTTACACTGTGGCTAACTCGAACTTTTGAGGGGGTTGAGTGAGACCAAGAAATAAAGCCTTGGGGTGTTAATAAATCCCGTCTGAGCGATGCGCCCCCATACTCCCTCCCTGCGCCCTCCATTCAGAATCGTAGTGGCGTATTGGATGCGTATGTGGCCTGTACAATGAATTGCTGTATCCAGCCGATGTACAAGTCAGTGCTTTTATCCTCCCATACGATTCTGGTACCAATTAATCGACTCCAAAGGGATAGAAGGCTTGGATGGCCTAGGCAGATATCGATCCGGGATTCGAACCCGTGACCTTGTGTGTGTGAAAGGCGCCACATGCCACTACTCCATTTCTGCCCTTGATCAAGAAATACTTCAGTGATATTGTCGATGGTACGCACTATAGGTAATAAATTTGGGTTTCAACTCCCAAGGTGTTTCCTCCCTCACCACAAAGCTTTACCTTGCTACCTCCCGTTTCTATGATGATCTTATCGAAGATTACCTCGTAGCTCGGTTAGTATTTAAAGGCACAGTTCACGATAATTCGGGGTAATCCAGATTTGATGAAAAATGCAAGACAAGATCGAGAATAGTGCGATGAAGGTGGAGAAACTGCGTAAATCGGTGTTTCCAAAATGAAAAAAGCTTCGAAAAACCGTTAAGGAGGGGGCTGGACGAGAAAGAGACCAGAAAAATGAAGGAGAGTGGGGCGTTTGGACGAGCTATACAATGTGTCTCACTGCGTACATGTGGGTCCTGGTGCGAATAACAGACTACGGTAAGCAAAAATTCATCCACTTATAAGCATAATTAAACAAAAAACCCTAGTAATAGCAAAAGTAGCTCAACTTTTTCAGCCTTTTGGGGTAGGAAATTGAATAAGGGATACCCGGCAGCAAAAAAAAAAAATAATAGAGGAAAAAAGGGTGGGAGAAAAACAACGCCTCATCACTCGGTGACAGATGATTGTGAGTGGGTCCTTGAAGGAATAGTTGCAATCTGTATTGTCCCGACACTCGTCTAACGAAAGAGTGATGGAGAGGCGGGAAAGCGAACTACGGCAGCAAAAGGGCTTCCACTATGCCCTAAGCGCCGAGATTGTGGGAGCGAGAGGGTCCCTTCTACCACCCATGGGGGGCGCTGTGTATTTTTAAAGAAAGAACTCACTTACCTTTGTTATCGTGAACCGTGCCTTTAACGAACTCTCTAGGAGAAGGTACGTAGTAGCAGCCTCGCAACACAGCGCTAACCTAGCGCGGTAATTTTAAATTAGTCGCACGTTCTGCGGCTCCTAACTATGAACCCAAGAAGTTGTTCAGAGCGAAGTATGTACACCCTGCTTCCGTGTTTTCTTTTCGGTACGTTTGATTCCGGTGACGAATGAGGATGGATCATAGCTCATTCTAACATGATCGTGTGTCACTGGGCACGCTCGTTCATTCATGTAGTACTGTGTGCGGTCAGAAGAAAACTTTAAAAAAACTCACACAACGACTAAATCTGCTTTTGAGGAAAAGTTCCGTAACAATGTCCCTGTTTGAATATGTCGGGCAATCTTGTTACTCATTCTAGTCAGTTCATCCTTAGAAATCATACCGTCTTCCTCTTCGCCCAGAAACGGCTCTAACGTCTTGTAGAACTGATCTTTCCTGAAAATAAGGAGATAAAAGAAAAATCAAAAATGAAAACTCTAAAGTAGTTTAACGAGTCAGCTATCAACAGGGAACGGACCTAAAAGCCATCCAAGGTAAACTTACGTTTTCTCGTCCGGTTTTGTGAACGCTGGTACTACATGGAGATAGCTATACTGGATACGGAACTTCTCCAGCAACGATGCCATCCGTTTTTCTTCGGTGGAGACCGACTCACCCTCAGGAGCTATCGTGAAAACACGTAGATTGGCTCCCTTAAGCAGAATTGAAAAAATTTGCAAACTAAAAATGATGGAAAGGCGCCTTCATTACCTGCTGATAGCACAAAATGACTACATACTAAATTCTCTAAGAATCCTCTAAAAATCGAAAGCAGCTCTATGCCGTGACAGTTTTCCCGTGTTCCTATCGTATTGAATCAGGCAACGTCTTTTGAGAAATTGACAAAATGAAAATTTTGCCTGAGATATGAACTGTGTGGTGTAGATGAAATGGCCAAAACTGACTTCCAACCAGTTACTCTCCCCCCCCCCCCCCCCCCCCCCCCTCTCGGAGGGCCTCTCTTTCGCCTGTCAATCATGATCCATTTGTTGGAGTAACTGCCAAATACAGATCCAAATTGATTGATTTCATAGCATAGCGATTTATTTATTTACGATGGTTACTGACCAAATCCCTCGATACGTCGTTTGCAGTAATCAAGAAAACTATCGTTACCGGGAGTTTCTCTCCCTTCAACCTTTCGTAACACTACAACTCAAGAATATCCATTACCCCAAATATTTCACAAAAAGATCGAAAGCAAAAATCTGTTCTTTTCTGGAAATATGAGGGCATATGCATTTCCAATGTTCTAATTGTTTTAGCAGAATTTTCATTCTAGGAATGGGATGTACCTATTTGTAACAAACATTTACTGAATAACCACAGTGTATTTGTAGTAATCTAAGAAATCGTAATAGCTAAAAATACCTTGAGACGGCTCCCTGTGAGGGTAAGGAGATAGGGCACAAGAAGCGTCAGACCACCATCATCACTAAGCCACCAGACGTCTATAGTGAATTTCTTGTTCGTTATGATTCCCAACTCAGTATTACCGGTTGTACCAGTTGTGGTTGATCCCTGCGTGCTATCAGTGTCCAGAGGGGGTGCTAAATAGTAACAACTAGTAATGTAGAAAGTGTTTGAGAACCATAGGAACCACTGCAGTTCTGTGGTGTTCCAAAAAAAAAACCATAAAATTATAAAATACCTGATAGATCATCGAACGGATTTTTCGGGTTACTTCTAAGAATGGCCACACCCATGCCGCTGTAGAATGCGTGTCTCAAATAAGAAGCAATTATATGTAATTATGCCACCATTTTTTACATGAAAAAAGAAAAATATCATGCGAGGGGTATGAGCACGTGCCCATATGCTGAGTAGCTGAATGAGCTGGACGTACGTATAAACTGATGCCTTTCACAGTTTTGCTCATTGAAGTAATTTCTAATAGGCCGATACATAATTAATGGGGATTTTTTCGCGGCTTACTTCCTCTCGATACAATTTGGGTCTTGAATTCGGGATTCAATAGAAAAAATCTCCTGCTTTCCTCAACAGAAATATGTTTAGGAAGTCATTTTCACATATGCCACATTATGCTCGATTACTTCGAGAAAGCTTGGGAGGTGCCACAGCCCTAAAGTGTTCTCATCGAACTTCTCGACGATGGAACAGTCAGCCAAAGCCGAATAAAGAATGGAGTTTGCTTCTACGGTCGCCATGAATCTACTATTACTTCTTTTGTTCCTGTATTTCTTACTTGCTGCTGCATTCTGCTACACTCCTTCGTGCGCGACGTGCTTCTGCCGCGACGCGACAATTTCGTTCCTATTGCACCACACCCCGTGGATTGCCTCCAAGAACCGGACTTCTTTGCCTGTGGAATCCGACTGCCCCGCAAATGGGAAACAGTGTTTGACGTAGATGGTGAATATGTTCCAAAGTAATTTTTTGAACATGTCTTTGTTGAATATTTTTATCTTTTTCTTAGATTTTTTAAACAAAATCCGCAATAATTATGCATCTACCTAATATCTGCTACTTTTAGATTTCTTTAGTGTCTTGTGAGCAGTGAGCGTACCATATCACCTGGGGACTTTTCCTTACTTCAGACTATGTTATACCGGCAAGAGTCATAGTTTGTTCACAACCATCCGTCGGTATATGGCAGCCCTTCTTGCGAGTTCCACTGCGAGCAGCTGCAGACCAGACTCCCTTCTTTACATTGCCACTATCACTATGGTTTAGGTATTATAGTGGCACCTGGTGCACTCATATGCATAGTTTGTGGATCGCATCCAGCACACCGCGTGACGGAACTTCTCCCCGATTGCGGCATTCTCCCTTGCGGCATGCGGCAAAAGTCACTGCAACTACCGTACTCCCGCCAATCGATAAGAATTTTTCGTTGATTGCCCTTCTTTTTTATAAAAATAGATCGTTTTTTTCTAATTCTTTTTCATTTTTATGTTTATTAGACTTGATAAATTAGAATGACTCGTTCTATGTAAGCGACGATCATTGAAATTGAAGAGAGCGGTCAGCCAATTCAAATAATTAAAGGACTCCCTACCTTACAACTTGCGCGCTCCAATCTGCCATCGCAATCCTGCGATACGCGGCGGGTGCGGCGTGCGCGACGCCGTCTTCAGGGAGAAGTTCCCGGACCCAGCACACCTGATACCCACCCAGGCCAACCAAACTTGCAGTCCCTCAGAGGTCGGTTCATTGTTACCAGACTCGTCTGGAAGGTTGAAAGCACTGAATTGTACATCGGTTGGCCAACACAAACTGGTGTATAGGCCACAAACACATTCAGAATGACGTGTCGATTCTGAATTGAATTCCGTTCGAATTTATTTTGACCAATCCCGTTCCAGTTACACCCCGGATACAAGGGTGCAACTAGAACGGAATAGGTCAACAAGAAATGTTTTACCCTTTATGTATGTATATCATACCATAATTGGTTGTTAGGTCGTGTATGTGCGTGATATGTGTGTGCACAAATAAGTCTCTGGTCTGCCTGTTTATCAGTCACATGTTAAAGGCACAGTTCACAATAATTTTGAGGCACCCGTTTTTATTTGAAAAGCGGAAGGATAGGTTGAGAATAGTTCATCGGTATTGAAGAAAGTGGGAGAATTCGCCTATTTCGAGAAGAGTAATCCAAAAGTAGAGAAAATAGAGGCTGGACGAGGTTGCCATGACGAAAATAATATGGAAGGGGTATGGAAGGGATTCGGACGAGATTTCAGTTACTGCAATTGCACAAAGAACCTACTACATCAAGCCAGAACTGCACAGAACTGTCTTCCACTGTCGCTATGGATCATGATAAGTTGTATGAACTTCCTACATGAGTTCCTTTCCTTCGTGATTAGTGCCTCTACGCCGGTGTAACTTGCCCGAAGGTGCACAAGGGCCAATTTTTGAGCCTTTATAATTCCCAAACCAGGCCGTTTTCCGACCTAACAGTGCCAGATATGGTATACGCGGATGCCTCGACTTCATCCTGTGGGGGAATCTCAGAAACCATTTGTATCGTGAACTGTGCCTTTAAGATCCCCTCAGACTTACAGCCAACCTCAAGGGAATGGAAAAGGTAGATGGGAACTTAGCAACGACAAGCATAACAAGCAATCGTGTCAGAGCAGTATCGAACTGCTGAGTAATTCACATACATAGCTTCACACCCTTGTGTCCTAGAGCGTTCAGAAGTTTAAGGTCGTTTTATATAAAAAAAATTAGGCAACTATTCAGTACTTTGACGTTCAGAAAAGAGGTATGCCAATTCTCTTCAGAGGAATTTCGTAAAAAGCAAGACAAACGACGTAATTCGGCCAATCCGACTTGTTCCACAGCTATCCCAAGTCGAAACGGTAAACCGAAAGTTCAACAAATGAGGTCATCTTGAGGGAATGAGGAAAAAATGAACTTTCCTCAAAATCCTCATAAGTAGAGGTTGCGCATGAAGAAATGATGGGTAAGATTGCTACCTTACAGGTCTCTTGCATTCGCAAACAACTTCTCACCAGCGAAACTGCGGTCGAATTCCCATCAAACAGTGATCTTGCGACCGAAGATGCGTCCAAGAACGGTTCTGGGTGAACTTGAAAAAGTAGATCAGATCGCACAGAAACCTTTTCTTTTTGTAAGATTTTGACGTTAAATCCCATCTTAGCGACTAAACTCAGCAGAAATTTCTTAGGAATTCCAACTTTGAATATGCTCTGGAGCAGACGGGAAAGGCGCGGTGGGCATGCGGGAGACGGGGAAGGAGGAAAGGGTAAGTGGGATGGCGCTTCCTTCTGCTTTCTTCAAAAGGGTATGCCGGTAGTGAACCGATTGAAGCGTTAATATAGAGACTTACTGGATGATCCGCAGATATGCATTTCTGGTCTCCAGCTTGACAGCTCTTCGATCTTTCGCTTCACTCTGCAGAAAACCAAGTAAAACGATGTTCGGCGACATACGACCCAATCCGCAGGTCTGAAATACATGTATCAGTCGAAAGATTTTAAAAAAGTAGAAAAAAAGGTCGGTATTCAAAAGATCGATGCCCACAAACGACTAAGAAGTGGTATTCACCTGATAGAGCATCATACAACCGGTTTCCAGCGAGGGAGCCACGACCACCTTACAGATACCTTTGATATGTTGCCTTCGTAATGCTGCCTGTGACATTTCTTCAATTTTGCGAGCTGTTGCCAATTGTTTACTCATTTCTTCGGTACTCTGGAATTAGAAAACTAATATTTCTTCAATCGATGGCCCATTAATCTTTACTTGGTGAAGGGGCACCGCTCGGGGATCGAAACTTACCGGAATCAACTACGTCTACTATTCTTTGGAGTGGTTTAGTGCCCGTCCTATCTAAGAGGGTTGAACTACGTGATCCACTGAACGTCGGTTTATCCTCAAATGGTTAAGTGTACATAAGATGTTCCCCACCAACCAAGCAGTGTAATTACCCTGGATGGAAAAGGGTTTGGAGGGAATACCGTGAGCTCCCTACGTTTATCCATCTGAAGCCATATAACCATGAATGATATCAACTAACCGGTTCATGTATGACGTTTCCACACACTAGCAAGCTTGCTCCTCGTGTGATACTATAGGCCAATTGGACCAGAGATGACCTTTCATGTGGTGCTCCACTTAATACAAGAACCTGAACATCATATACTCGAGAACAAAGCTTCTTCTTTGAAATAAACAGAAAAGAGCGAACCAGTGTTAGGCTGGAAAGCAAAAATTTGTCACGAATATCCCAGCTTTTATTATTTTTTTAAATTATGCAATCCTAGCCACTACAGCGCTCCTCCTACTGGGTGAATCAGTAGTCCAGCAGCGCTTTTCCTACGATGCAAATTAGTAATCTCCATTTCCCAGAGAAGGGAGACTGGAAGTAAAATGCTAAACCTCCCTACTAATGCTATCGATTTGGTAGAAGTTTTAGGATTAAAAAAGCCTTAAGAAAGTGCAAAACTGGTAATCAGAAGGGCTATGCCAGGAGATTATGGGAGATGAGGCTCGATGCCCCAACATGGCCATGAAATTTTTGTAAAGAAAAGGCTATCAGCAGGTAGATAGTCGATTGTATCCACCAGCCAATCAATAGCCAAAAAGCTCACTAATACTTGCGTACTTACTAGTTACTAGTACTTGCGAATTCCCTTATCTGTCCCCTTTAAGAGACATTCTCAACGGTCCATGACCGCAATTGGAACTTCTACATTGTAAAGCTCGCTGAAGGAGAATCGCAGCAAATCGATGTCATAAATAGATCGAAGCTATTTTCCACTCAGAAGATATCTATTCCTACCTGTGGGCGATAATTTTTGACATGAGGTTCGTCCTTGGTGAGCTTCATTACTCCATTGTATGCGTGCTTATATGTAGTAGCAGTAGTTGATGTTCCCCAGTTGACGTCTGGAATTGGAAATTTCTCAAATTGCTGTGCTACTTGTTTACTGCTCTATTCTTCTTAAATTGTGGCCTCAATGTTTCATTGTTCCGTTTAGTTTTTTTTCTGTTGTTGTGATTTTGTTCTTTCCCTACTTTCACCTCTTTTCTTTCTTACTGCCTGGTGCTAGCCGCCGTAATTTTTATGTAGGCGGCACTAGTTCGTTTTATATTATTGTTGGTTCCTCTCTTTTGTCTGATCCGGGCACACTCTTATGAGTGTAATAAATAAATAAATAAATAAATAAATAAATAAATAAATAAATAAATACAAAGCCGTAGTGCTCGCTCAGATGGATGAACTGAAGGTCCCATATGATCGGCATATTCATGTTCTTCTAACCTGGGGTCTCTGTTATTGCATTGACTTCCTATAGGGTCCCTGCCCCAATAAGATGCGCTGAAGGCGAGTTTTGCTAAACTACTGCGATGTTTCGAGTACATCGCCTTTTTTGAATTGGGATTAGTTATGTGTTAAGAGCCCTGTATGGGGAAGGCACTATCCACTTTGTAAGGATAGGTTTCTTGCAAAGAGATTTGCTTGAGATAAACCCCGAGGGTGTTGACATAGCGGTCACTTCATTTTACATAGCTGAAGGTTTGGAGAGGATTCAGAAGTACAACATGAACAGAACGAGGAATAAATCTCTCATACCAATCAAATTACGAAAAAATTTTCATCTTTTGCTTCCACACTTCACGCCTATTTGTCGTAGTGAATTTAATCACGGGCAACTGGTATGATGAGATTAGTAGAAGCAATAAAACTACACTGATAAAAAAAGCTACCTGGTTTCAAGTGTCGTATGAAGGAATAGACGGCGAAAAAGAACGAGCATGTGAACAGTGTTGTAGGCCATGACATAACGAACATGATAGAAACGCACATCACCGCTCCGAATAACGACAACCATGGCGAGTAAAATCGGAAAGCCGGGCGAAAACCTGGGTAATACTTAGGTACAATTTATATTTGCAAGTTCTTCATTTCAAGAAAACATTGAATCCAAGTGAAACCAATTTTTTTTTCTCAGAAAAGAATTGAAGCTTGTAAATCTTTGACCTGTTCACAGAAATGCGTCATGCGCCCAATTTACATTCAGTACCGAAGAACCCTACAGCGGCTGTACGATAGGTTGGATTTAGGTGAATAAAAAGGAAACATGAGTCGATGCAGTCTGTCAGAAATAAAAAACGAAAAAATCTACAGAATCCTGCAAAACGAAATTCCCATCTGCGATTTTTATTTAGGGCCAAGTGGGAAATTATGATGAGCTACCGTTTGTTGACATCACGTGTAGTTTGACGGGGGAATAGGCAGTATCATTTGCATGTTGAAAAAAAAAGTTCCTGGATTTCAGATGGCGAGTGCTGCGAGAATTTGAAAAAATCATAAAACCCACGGCCATGAAGGAATAGGTTCAAGTCAACTAGCTTTGGCCTGATCTTTTTTTGCAATGTTTCAGAAGTACAAGTAGTGGAACGAGTTTTGTTCGAGACCAAAGTTTTGCCCACAACCCGCCATCATTATGAGTCTACTAATGGTCGTGGTTGAAAGGAAGTGATGTTAACATTCTCTGTAGATCTTTTCAGTTATGTTGGCAACTCCATCCAGGAAGAACAACCAGAGGGCAGTAGTTATAGATATAGATTCCGAAAAAAGGAGTAGAAGAGTTGAACCTAGAGTCTCCAAAAGTTGAGCAAAAAGGTAGTTAGCATATTATTTTGTTGCCGTCCATTGAAGTAGTATTCAATCAGCTACTCATGCATGAAATTGATCAGATTTTTGGTGAATAGGAGGTTGTGTAGAGCCCCAAGACAATGCAAGGGTTAGGCTCTTACTAGCAGCAGTCTACCAACAAGATTGCTATGTTTCCAAGGGATCTGTAGTACTTACATGGGCAAGCCAGATGCACATTGAAATAATTCGCCAATTCTGGATGGAAATCGAGTTCATGGTGTAATCCAAGTAAAGATAGGACAACTCGGAACGCATTATGCCCGGTCCGATACCAATTTTCAGAAGACGAACCCATTAGCAGCTAGAGTTGACAGCAAAAAAAAAAGGGTTTTACCTGGAGTTTGCGATAAGCACGCGGTGAAACAGGCGTAGTTCACGAGAGCGTATGCGCACAGGAAGAAATTCGAAATGAAAGGTGCAATGACGTTCAGATTACCTGGAAAGAGGTAATTATTGTGATTCAGGTTGACAGGAATTTTAACAGATCACTCACCGATCATCACGATAGTGACAGTAATGACGAACGACAGGGCATAAACACGTCGAGGATCATTTCCTTTACCATATCCTTTAGCAAAGAACTCGAGTTTTGGAATTATTCTGTCTGCACATACGGCCTGAATGGGAAAGAATTCGACCGAGACGTTTCAAAAAATATTGAAATCACTATAAACTTATAAAGATGCCCAGGCTTTATTTTATTTTTGATTTCTGGTATTTTTTATGAAAACATTCTTTAGTTTTTGTATTATAGTGCTCCGAGAAAATTACGTGCTCTATGAGCTGGACTAGTCCTTAGTTCTGTGTCATGAACTTTCCTTTTTTCCTGAATGTGATCGTCTTTCATGTTTGATATCGCCTTTCTAGTGTTCTAAATATTAGCATATATTTCTTTTAATCCAACTTTATCCTGCTTCTTTGCCTGCTTTCCGGAGCTAGTTCTAGAAGTCAAGCATATGCGGTTGAGATGTTCTCGCTCCTATAGATCTCATTTCCTTTTCTGGGACTGACTTGTGAGGGAAATGAGGGTTCTACTGACCCCAATTACATTAAGGATGGATGAATATTGTCAAGGATTGATTCCAGAGCGGGATAAAGGTCTGAAAAGGTCAATTTGGGGTTTGATGATTCGAACGAAATTTTGCCTTCCACGCTGATAAGACATTTTTCCCAGAAGGTAAATTCAGGACGAAGGTGTTCGACAATGGTGAATGGTTAAGGAGCTTGCCTCTGGACTGCAAAGTGGTCCGTCCTCATTTTTAGGCTTATCGACCATTCAGGCCACTACCGACGTTCCACCATCATAACTCAACTGTACTCCAAATTTCCACAAAGGTCCTCTCCTCACTTAGGGGTGGTTTCATAGAAAATTCTCAATATCCTTTCCTGCCCAAACTTTCCTCAAAAAATGTGTTGGCGGCAATGAGCCATACACGTAGCAGAGTGAAAAATGAGAGTAGATGAAGAAGGAATGGGTGGGAATAGGAAGAGATGTTCATTGGAGGGCGTAGTTGGGCTTTCAATTCCGTTGGAGCCAGCGGCAACATCTGATTTCACTCGAAGTGAAACACTATGCCGACTTACGTACCGCAAAATAAGTAATAAACTAATAATCAAAATTTAAAAATTTTAGCGAGCGAAAGGTTTTAAATCACCTGAAATACTCTGGGCGCACCGACAAGGCTAGCCATAGCTGAACACAAGGAAGAGGCAACAATACCGATAGTGATCAACGGTGGCCAAACGCTCGTTACCGTCACCATCTGAAGAAGAATTCAAGTCGTAGTGATAGTGACAATTTCAAGACACACTCTGATTACTTAAGGTCATATTTCTTCTACAATGCTCCTAAAGCCCTAGTTAACGACGTAAGTGGTTTAGACTTCTTCTCACTGGGGCAAAGCTTTGGCCGCTGAGTAGGCGACACAGTGAGTTGCAGCTCATTCAGAGACCAAAGTACAGGGGCCTCAGAAATGGCCTAGTAGGCACATTAAAGGTTGATATACTCCCAAACACCCACTGTCGATGAAGGCTTCCAACGTGGACGTGTCGGACGACACTGCGGATGCCGCACGGAGAGGGAACCGTGTATGACTTGCAAAATGGAGTGTGCTTGTGGAAAATATAAATCAGGAGATTGCCCAGAGGGAGGTTGAGATCTCCTCTAAACAATACCCTCGATCTTTGATTCGATAAAGACCCATAAAACTATTTTAAGCTGTGCCGTTAGGCACAACAGGCATGTTTAACGATCTACAAAAATGTCCATTCCAACACTGGAATTTGTGTTCCACTATTTTACAGCAAAGAGAAAGAATCGCGTATCCATATGTACAACGTTCGATTCTCGAACTTGTTTGGTACTGGCACGAATTGGATTGCGGAGACGGTAGATGGATACCTATCATGGTGATGGTTACCTGGTAGTAGTTATGAAGTCCAAATGGGCATGTAGCGTTCAGGTAGCAATCTGGTGGATTGTCTTGATCGGCTTCATTGACACCATCCGCATCTCGAGCATACGTTGCTCCGGCTACTAGGGCGAATGCTGTGTAGACAACTGTAGAAACGGCAATTGCAGCTAATGTTCCACGTGGAATCGCTGCCTGAATATAACCTTAGCATGGAAATTTTTAGAGACTGAATTATGAAGAGATTTTATCGCAAAATGGGGTGAAAGGCAAAATTGCGGTGTAGGTCAGCACATGCCATCGTGTCAATGTAATGAAACTGGGTCAATTTTTTTGTCACGACCTCTAGTACCTTCTACGATGGAAACGAGAGGCCTCGGCACGATGAATTGCCCTAGTTTCGGCGCGCCAAAAGCGATGGCATGTGCGGGCCGACCCCTGAGAAGGTGATTTATTTCATCACCCTACCTAGACGGGCGAGGATGGTATAGTGGCAAGTGGCATATAATAAAAAATGCAAGGGGGGATCGATCGTCGTTCTGGCCAATTAAACCTTTTATCCCCTCGAAATCCGTCAATTGGTACCAGGCTCGTCTGGGAGGGTGAAAGCACTTTCAGATGGGATGGTGTGGCCGGATCACTCTTTTCCTAAAAAGATTGAAACACTCAACGCAAAAAAGCTTTTGCCGGATTGGCCATTGAGAGCTCTAACAAGGTCTTGAAACAGTGGCAACAATATTTTCTTACCGCGCAGTCCCCACCTTTTCCGCGGGTCACGCCCCCTTCGTCAGAACGGACGAGAAGCATCNTTGAAACACTCAACGCAAAAAAGCTTTTGCCGGATTGGCCATTGAGAGCTCTAACAAGGTCTTGAAACAGTGGCAACAATATTTTCTTGCCGAGCAAACCCCACCTTTTCTGCGGGTCACGCCCCCTTCGTCAGAACGGACGAGAAGCATCACCAGACCTTTTGATTATGGCACCGACAAATTCATTCCCACGAGAATGCATATATTATTGGGGCAAAGGGAAATCTCCGAGTAAGCCACGGAAAAATCTTCAACCGTTCACAATGACTATGAAGACCTTTTGCTCAATTTTCATTTTTTTCGATTGAAGAGAGTTATTAGGCAAGCAATTAGGGAATGGTCCGATTCATGGAAGGAGCGAGCATGATGTAAGGATATCGGAATCATTATATCGTACTGTTTATGTTGTTTGTTTATTTCTCGATTGCGCACTACGGAAAACTCCGCCCATTACCCTTTCCCATCCCTTCTTTCTATCCGGATGACACTGGAAAAAACTGTGTTTCACAGATAGAATAGGTCCGGGTTACAACAACAATGAAGCAATCACGTGAAAAGGTTTGCCAGCTAGAGAACCCTTATGCATAGAATAAAGCCTTTAAGCATTGACATCAGAGATGCGCCGTGTGTTCGAATTCTATTCAGAATCCTAGCAGTGTTTTGGACTATCATATAGCCCATACAACGGTTTGCGGTTGCGAGCCGATGTACGGTGTTTGTTTGTTTCCGAGTGCTTCTAAAAGAGCCAGGCACTAATTAACGTCCCCTTCCCCACCGAGGGCTGGAGGGCCCGTTCGGCCCGGCCGAGTATTTCACTGGGATTAGACGCCGGGAACCATGCGTGGGGAGGGGTGCACCACTCGAACCAACTAACAACTTCTAATTAGGTATGTATGACTGGAAAGAAAAGTAATTGAGGATAAAAGTGCATAATTACAGGTATTACTAAGTGTGCATGATAGGAACGTACTTGGGGATTTTTAAGGTGTCCGCTAATATTGGCTCCGGCCATGATACCAGTGGCTGCAGGGAAATACACGGAGAAGACGGAGAAAAAGTTGTGTTCACTTCGAAAATCGGGTAGCATATTATGTTCCAAAGTTTTCCCTAAAAATGATACATTGTACTAGGTGTTTCGTCAATCGGATAACTCCTCTTTTTTGAGTTTTGGAAATCAGTGAGATCTTGGTTGCATGTATATGCGATTTAGAGACAATAAAACATTGAAAGTGAATAATGGGTCCAAATCCAATGATGGATTTTTGGGGAGACGGGCGTTAGGAACGATTTTGGGTAATCGATTCGCCGCACGCGGCTGTCGCGGACCACTCATTCGCCATTATTACGGCTCTAGCGTTCTTCGTACAGCTCAATCGACATGCGATCATTATTTTATGCATAGTTCTACTATTAGTATATTTGTTCTTG